TACAGGTAATCCAGTCATTTCTGCTTTATGAAAATAATATTTTTCTTACTATGCTTCCAGTGATTCTAGATAGCACATGAGAGTAAGATGTCCTTAAATCAAACAGGAATTTAAAAACACTCAACACAAAGCCAAGATTTTACACTCAAAACTATTTTTTTGGAAGATAAAGACTCAGGGAAGAAAAGTATTAATCTATTCTGGTAGGATATACTTTTATTTACAAAAATAATTTCTAATTAAAAGCATCTGATTCTAAGCACTTAATAAAAGACTTTTTTTGTATAAGAGTTGTGATAAGAATGTAACTATCAAGTTACATTCTGATCTAACAACAGTAGTGAATGTTCAATAAAGTAGGCCATTTTAAACAAAACAAAAACCAATCTGAGGAAACTTAAGCAACCTAGTGTTAAACTTGAGTGCTGAAAGATTAAATTTGATAAGTGCTTAAAAAAAAAAAAGGATAGTCTATTAAAAGGCTATAAATCTCACTGAAAATATTATCTTAGAGGGAGACACAGACTTGGGTGACAGTTGCGGTATCCCTGTCACACTAAAGCAGCACAGTAATATTGGTGTTTCATACTTATGTCACCACGCCAATATTTACGTGCTGCTAGAGTGGAACAAGTACATCAGTGCATCAAAATATAAAACACACATGTGAGAATGAAAGTAATAGTTTTGAATGAGTTTCCTTAAGTTTCTAGAGCAGCAAATAATGATTCGCATTTTGACTATAGTATGTAAACCATGATGTGCTGCTACAGTACTTTAAGGTCTCAAGAATGCAGGATCCACCAACAGGGCTGCCCTCCAGCTTCTTCCATAACAAAACAACAAAGCAAAGACAATCTCTCTCAATTCTATTCTGAACTTACCTGTAAGATTAGAAATCTATTATGGTCCAAGTCAATTCCATGGCTTCGAAGAAGATTTCCAACATCCTTAAATGTTTTTTTCTTCCCACTAATGTGATAGACAGAAGTATTATCTCTGTAGGCCGTTCTAGATACATAGAAGTTACTATTAGGCACGACTTCATAATCATCCCCTTCCTGTTTTGAGGAAAAACAAAACCAGAAAACAACTTGGTTATTAAGTCACAGGTCTGCTTCAGATTCACACACTTTATACTGAAACCAAGTTTATGGATTAAATACTTCAACTTACACACACACACAAACTGCCGGTAGTTCTCAAAAATAAACTTGCTTAAAACAAATAGATATTTGGCTCCTTTTCAAGGAGGCCCCAAATCAAAATGCTAAATCAAGCAAACAAACAAAAACTTCAGCTCTAGAAAAGCCTGAAAAATAATATTGGACTGTTAGAGGAGACAATAAAGGTAGACAGGGAGTCCAAACACATCTGAACAAACCCACCCAAATGAATACATGCTAACAGACTAAGTGACTCCATCTTTCTGAAGAAAAAGAAAGGAAAGAGTAATAATAGGCTGAAACTTTTTGGGGGGTGGGTGGGGGTGGCAAAGAATGCACCATCAGCTGAGGTAAAAAGAACTGTAACTAAGTCTCAACTCTATTCCTAATTTAAACAACAACAAAAAAATCAAGTACAAATGTACTTTCACATTAAAACTCACCCTCAAAAGCTGTCATTTTGAAGCTATGGCTTCTCAATTTCAAACGAATCGAATGTAATAAACAGGCAATGGAATAAAATCTGATTTACTGGCAATCTATTTTTTTAGTCCAAATTATGCCACAAAATGATTTAAGAAGCAAAATTAAGATAGCTGCTTCTTTGTAAGCTTTTTATAAAATCAAACAAAAGAAAACAGTAGCTAAGTCACTTTCCCATTTCATTATGTAGAATTGTTTTATTTTTTAAGTTTTAATCAGGTTTTGAACCACAAATTTAATAAATTCATCCTTAGAGACCTCTCTGTCCCAGAAAACCAACAAAACTATGTACATTTAACCTATAACCATATATATTTCTACAAAACAAGTAAAATTGAAAAGCTCTTCTACATCACAAATACACAGGACCACTAATACTGAATTTAATGTGATTGACATAATGAAAATGATAAACTTAGTTAACTATTACATTCTCAAGATTAGGTAACTTATTCTGAAGCAATAAACAAATTCCCAAAAACAACCCTAAACAGAATGCCTACTTAGCACCTAGAATCCTAAAACTACTCAATGTTTTATTCCAAGAAGATAATGATTACCAAGCTATTTATAATCCATTTTCTGGCTAAAAATGTTCATGTTTAACAGCCACCACCATTCTCCCAAAAGAAATATGGCCATGGAGGTAATGAAAGCAACCTCTTTTACTTAAATTCACATGTATTTTTAAAAGCTGACTTAAGCTAACAGGAATAACATGTGTAATGCATTCAAGTCCTTTGTTTTCCTTACTCGAAGTTGCAAATAGAAAACAAAACAAAACCCTTACCTTATCAATTATCTTTTGGAAATGAACCTCTACAGTGCAACTCTGAATATCCTTATGTTCATCAGAATTATGAATTAGCACCGACAGTTTCTTAGATCTTATTTTTTGAGCTCGATAGCCAAACACAAAAAGCATAGAATCGATAACATTGGACTTGCCGCTGCCATTTGGCCCAATAATACAGGAAAAGCGCTGCATAAGAAAAAAGTATTTTTTAAAGCTGAAGACTGATTAAATTACTTTTTACTTGCAGTAAAAATTACAGGCACTTAAAAGTTCTCACTAGTAGAAAACACATAATTTATACTTTCTTACATCTTTTCTCCTTTACGATACCTTAAGTAAAAAATTCGAATCCAGACGTTTTATAAAACATCTTAATAAAGAGAAAATATTACCCTCAAACACAAACACACGATTCCACCCAACGAGAAAGAACTTCAATACTAACAAGGTTCCAAAGATACCAGATGACTAAAACCTCATTCGGTTGTTAAAACTCATAGGCACAGAAAACAGTAAGCAAACAGAAACATTTGTCTTGAAGAAGTATTACAATAGCTTCTTGAAACAGACTAATACCTTATGGAAAGGGCCCAGAATTTTCTCCCCGGCATAAGACTTGAAGTTCTGGTTTACGATATGAGTTATCATGAGCCGAGGAGCTCCAGCTTCACTGGTCATGGCTGGGGGTGGGGGTGGAGGAATACTACTCAAAATTTCTTCTAAACTTCTGTCATCTAGTTCCTCAGCCGGGGCCTCTAAGTCAGAGGAAGGAGAGGGAGAGAGGAGAGAAGCCTCCGTCAGTACAGTGAGCCACTTCGTGCCCGCTACTCCTTCAAAGATGCTATTTCGGAATCAACACGACGCAGCCACCGCAACTCCCCGGACCGACTGACCTCGTCGCGTCGCTTGACTTGTGTCAAGAAAATTCTCGACACCTGCCACGCAATTTTGCACAAGCACATCACGATCCGTTGCAGTCGACACAGGGCGTCCATGTCTAACCTGTCAGTACCGCGCATCCAGTCCGTGGGTGAAGTTCACTCAGCGAACCCAGAACACGGGTCACAATCGGCCCCTCGGCTTCCGTTCGAACCCGGCGCCGGTCGGGTCTCCCCTGGCCCCCGGGAGCTCCAGGCTCAGAGGCGCCGGGCCGGGGCCGGACGCCAACGACCGCCCCGCGGCTTCAGGACGGTGCGGGCCCGCAGAGGTGAGGGGCGAGGCGGGCTGTGCGCGCGTGCGGCCAGCTGTCCACCCCGCTCGGCCCCGACGCCGCCGATCGCCCACCCCGCCCGGAACCGCGACCCCCCGACGGCGGCTCACCTGCGGCGGCCGGGCTCTGGGCGCGGCCGGCCGGCGGCTCGGGCTCCGCGTCGCTGTTGGCGCCGTCCGGGGCCGCCCGCGGCCCTTCCTCCCGGCGCCGGGCGGTGGAGGGCTGGGCGCCTTTCCGGGGCATGGTCGCTAGGGCGGGGAAACCGGGGCCGGGGTGAGCGCGCGGGCCCCGTGGGGTCCCCACCCGCGGCAGCTCCCCGGCCCCGACGTGCGCGGACCCGCGGCCACCCTCGTGGACACCTGTGACGCTTCCACGCCCGGGACAGGGTGCCGGCGCCCCGAGCGGGACGGGGTTAGTCGGGCCGGCTTCCGGCGGGACCCACGGCCGAGCCCGGGCGGGGCGCCCCGCCCGCCAGCGCCCGGACGGCCCGGGGGCTCAGGGTCGGTGGTACCCGCCGGGCTCGTCGTCCGCCCGATCCCGTCCCGTCCGGGGCGGAAAGGCTCCGATCCAGGGCTGCGGCGCCCGAGAGAGGCGCGCGGAACCCCCGCCGCCCTCCGCGCCGGGAGCGACCGAAAGGGACAGCGGGGGGGGGGGGGGACAACGGGGGGACCGCCCGGTCCGCGGCCTCCGCCACCCCGCGGCCCCAGGCCTCTCCCTCCAGGCGGCCCTGGATGGGGCGGGGGTCCGCGTGTGACAACCCGGCCAGCCGAAGGAGCAGCGTACTTGCGCGGCAGTCCGCCCGCCCCGGCGCCGGCGTGGCCCGGGGTGCGCTCCCCACCCCCACTCCCCGCGCCTACCGACGCCTCAGCTCCGGGTCCTCCACTCGAAAATGGCGCCTAAAATACAAACTCGAACGGAAATTCGTTACAAATGCGCGCAAGGACTTCTGGGATCGACTCTTTTGAAAAAAAAAAAAAAGAAAGGGCGGTGACGATCACCGCCATCTTCTGGCCGCTCGCGCGCATGCGCGGGCTCCCGGCGGGAGGAAGTTTCTAGGAAGTAGTTAGGACCGAGGAAATGCTTTCCCCCACCCCGCTGTGATCTCTAAGGGAAGCAGTGTTGTGGAGACTACGGCATTTTGAAAAACAGCCTGGAAATCATGAAAAAAAGAGAAAAATAATGCCCCGCCCCTTCCATCCCCAGCTGGAGGCCGGCTGCCCAATGACAGCCGTGGAGGAGAGGGCGGGCTCGTTTAGAGGCGGGGCTGGGGGGCGTGGCCGCACAGATGACGCGCCTCTGGCAAGTATCGCGGGAAGTGAGACGAGCGAGCGAGAGTGACGCTTGGAAGTCACTATGGTGACGGGAGGTCGGGGAGGCTTCCTCTCCGCGGGTCCCACCTCCGAGGACGGCTACCTGCGCTGCCCGGGAAGTTGAGGTACAGCGGTCCCCTCGGCACACTTCCGGGAGAGGGTCTGGGAGCGCGTCCGGCGTTGGCTCCTTTCTGGAGGGGTGCGCGCTGGTGGAGCATCGGCCGGGGGCCGGGGGCTGGCGGGAGGCGGAGGAGGGAGGCCGGAGGTCGGTGTGGACGGGCGGAACCACACCGGAGCCGCCTCGGAATTGCTTGTGCCCGGCCAGGGGGTGTCCGCGCCGGCGGTTGGGGATTTCGGCTCCGAATGGGAAATGGTGGGTGTGATGGGGGGTTATCTTGAGGAGGGGAGTGTGCGTGTGCGTGGCCCGGAGCGGGGCACTGATGACCATGCTTGGTGGTGTCCGCGGGCCTTTTCCCGGAGAGTGAAGGGGTGGTGGTCGTGGTGGTGGGTCGTCAGCATCCGCGCTCGTCCCGGACCCCGGGCTGCTGCTCAGAATCCTGCTTGTAGCCCGGCGCTTTTCTGGAGGCTCAGCTGTGCTATGGTTATCATCAACTCGGTCAAACGTGCTCTCATTTTCTGCAGCTTTAAGAACCACCAGTTGGTTCGACTATCTCCAGTAATTATTTAATCTAACGGCTTTTGTGTTGAAAGTTGCATCTCTCCTTAGTTCCCTCCTCCCCCTTAAGAAAGCCCAATATATTGAAGCCCTAGTGAATAGGCTTTCTGCAAAAACTTAGATTGGTTGCTCTAAAGTATATTACGGCCCTTGCACCACGTAGTGCAAGGTTGGGTTCAGTGATTGTTCCAGAAGGCACCCAAGAGCGAGAATTTGGTAGGATTGAGTAAGTATGGACTCTTTTCTAACAACAGATTTTATATTGGCAGTTGAAAAAATAGAATACTTTTAACAAAACAAATGTCAGAAAATGAAACTCAATGTAAACAATATTTGGCTATTAAGTTTAGAGGATATAGAGATTCTCTTTGAGGGCTTCTGGAACCGTTTCACAAGTTGTAAACCACTGCACATCCGAGTGGAGGAAGATGCTACTGTGAAAAGATTATAAATTAGGCCAAATGGTGCTGTCAATATGGTGGACAACAGAGCACAGTAGTTGTAGAAAGGTACAAATAGAACTCAGAATTCCAAGTCCCATCATCCTTTAGCTGTAGGCTTGGGCAGTTAGCTCTATCAGTTAGTGTATTGGAGGGTATTTATTTGTAAAACCAAAGTTTAATGCCTAACTCATAGGATTGTTTCTGCAGTACACATATCATTTGATGCTGCTGTGTTAGTGATGTTAGGGTGTGCAGTAAGGATGGGTAATGGAAGGATATCAAGTTAGGAGAGTAGTTTATGAAGGATCTTGAAAGACAAGGTAATGCAAAAATGGCTTGGTGGTATGACTCATGTATTTGAGCATCAACCTCACAAGCATGAGGCCCTGAGTTCAACCTGCCCCATGCCTCCAAAACAGTAGAAGAAACAGCTATTAGAAAAAACTCAAGCTACAGAATGACTTGAAAACTAAGAAGAATTAGGCCAGGTTTGGTGGTATATGCTGGTAATCTTAGCACTTAAAGGCCAGCTTTGTCTAAAATAAAGAAGAATTAGTTATTAGTAGTTATCAGGGATGTGTTAGAGAAAAGGCTGGCATTAGAAATGGTTTTAGTTAGATGGCTACTGTACAGTTATCCTTGGAAATGAGAATTACTTGTCACAGTAGAAAGAGAAGAGCTTAAAGTCATTTTTTGGGAAAAGTTTATTGGTTTGGTAGCTTTTGGTGGTTAAGAGTATAAACTCTTGAAATCAATCAGGTATTAATCTTTGTGAATTCTTGAATTAGTGAAGAAGGTATGGGAAGAATGGTAAAATTCTGTGAATTATAACTGAATGGTTGATGTTCTAATGACTGATGTGAGAGGAATCAGCCTGCTGATTCCAGAGGCAGCAACAAGCCTTTGAATCTATCTATTCTTCTGCTCTCCTTGTTATTTCATCTTTTCCCATTGCTTTTACTGTGATCTTAGCTCCTCAAACTGATAATCGGGTATCTCCCACACTCAGCTTTCCTGAGACTCTCAACTTGTCTAAACAATTTCTCCTTGACTTCTCCACTGGCATGTCTAATAAACACTTTGAATTTGAATTTAACATCCAGAGTGGAACCTGTTTTGGGGGAAGGGATTGATTAAACCAGGGAATCAAACCAACACGTGCTAAGCACAGTCCTCTACTGGTAAGCCATTCCCCCAACCTCTCACCACCCTGCTTTTTCATTTGGTTTTGAGATAAACTGCTCCAACTAGTCTTGACTTTTCTTTTAAATTGATATCACTAAGTTGTGCATGCAATACTTCTTGCATAATCACCCTTCTCCCACTCTCTTCTCTCCTCCCAAACCATTCTCAACCTTCCTTGTTTCATTTTCATTTTAGCCCTTCTCACTTCTCATTTGCCCCTTTTCACAAAGCATACACCCCAGACGTGTTTCAACTTCCTAAAATTCTTTCTTGTTCTTTAAAATTCATGTAAATGAATTTTTCATCATGTTATCTCATATGCATTTTATAATACTTTATAGTCAGAGTGATTTTATCCACATGATCCTGTGTGTGTTTATGTATATATTTTGAGTCTGATATCCACAGATGAGGGAAAATACATCCTTTGTCATTCTGAACCTTAGTCTCAAACTCTTAATCTTACTACTTCAGCCTACCGGCTGTTGGGATTACAGGTGTGTGCCTCTACCTGGCACTATCAGGTTTTACTAAGCACAAATTTCCCTTTCAGACCTTATAAATGTTGACCCACACATGAACAATGACAACTTATGATTTTTAATATTCAAGCCAAAGATACTGCTGCTCCAGTGTAAAGTTGCCAAGTTACCTATATCCTGGAAGTGTTTGTCTTCCCACCCCACTACTCTAACATGACTTCTAGTCAGATCTTTGATGACCAGTTTGGGCAGCTACAAAAACAGCAGCATTCAGGCCGTTGTGAGTTTCCTTGGCATGGCTGTCCTCTAATGGTGCTTTCCCCTTAATCTTTTGTTCAGTACCATATCAAAGTGGCCATGCTATTCATTCAGGACTGACCAAGGGCCAGTCTTCCCAGGAAGTGTTAGGTAGTTACTGTGCCCTGACTTTTTGTCTCTGTTTCAGAATGGTGGGTGGCTGTGATTTCTTCCTGGAGGAAGGGTCCTAACTATTGTGGATTGCTCATGTTGAATGTAGTTTCTGGTTGCAATAGTGTAGTTAGCTTTTGTATGTGTTTTTATCTTATCTGCTGGGCTTGTGATTTAAAAAGCAATAATGTTTCTGTTATATATCTATATTCTTTGAGGTTGAATTTATTTTGAAGAAGCAACTCTTTATAAAATGTTACTATCTCCCCCATTCCCCAGTAGGAGGAGAGGTGGTGGGAGGGAGGAAGTTCAGAGAAAGGTGGAGAGATACCAAGGATCAGACAGTGAACCAGTGAAATGTGCCTGGGTTCATTTTGTTCTAGTTCTGGCTGTGCCACACATAGCTTCATACTTGTGAAGTTCAAGAGCAATCACTCACAGAGCTAGGAAAGGGAGAAGTGAAAAGAGCACTTGGAAAGTCAGCAGTGTTTACACCTTGCTGATCCGAGTCTTCCTGGATGCAGGTAAAGAGAAATTACCTAAGTGATGCCTGTTGAACTCCTATCTGTGGCCAGCACTTCCTCTGATATAGTGAGCAGTAATTTTAAACTTGGTAAGCAGATATTTTGTCCACTTTAATCACATTTTCATCTTTTTTTTTCTATGTTGGTTAATAATTCTCAAAAATAGCATTTATGTAATGTAAATTGGACTCACAAAATATTTTCTTTTAATGACTTGGTTGAGGGGTGTTATTTTTCTTTTTCTAAGTTTTTATTTCGACAGTTTCACTGATTTCTTTGCACAATGCTTCGTCCTCCCCTTCATGCCCCCCTCCAGGGGTTCATTGTGCTTCCAGCTGGCCTCAAGCTTCAGCCTCTTGAGCAGCTGGGACTACAGGTGTGCACTACCAAACCAGTTTATGTAACTTAGTAAGCAATCTATTGCCTCTTCCTTACTTGATGCACTTGTTTTTCACACTTCCTGTGTGGTAGTCTTACTGTCAGGTAGGACATCTCCCCCCAGCAGAATGGAAACTCCAGAGTGAGCATGTTGTGCAATTTCCACATAGATTCTAAAAGTAAGGCCCTTAAAATTTGTTTCAGCTTTCCACCAGATCTTCGGAATTCAATTGATACCTCGTAGATAGGATTAAAATTTATCTGTGGTCTAGGTACAGTGGCTCATGCTTGTAATCCCAGCTATTTTAGAGAATCAAAGTTTGAGGCCAGTTTGGACAAAAAGTTAGCAAGACCTCCCATCTCAAACAATAAACCTGTAATCCCCCATCCATGGAAGGCATAAATTAGGAACATGTCTGGGCCCCGATAGGCAGACGTGAGGGTTTATCTAAAAGCAGCAAGAGACTCCAGTGGTACAGTGCTGACCTAGCAAGCTCAAAGTGCTGAGTTCAAATCTCAGTACTACCAAAAAGTTGATCTGTGATTGAGGAATTCCTAGTTTGCAGATCTTTTGACTTGACCTCAGGACAGCCTAGAAATTCTTTTTTGTTTTCTTTTCTTTTTTTTTTTTTTTGTGGGTCGTGGGGCTTGAACTCTGGGCCTGGGCGCTGTCCTTCAGCTTTCAGCTCAAGGTGAGTGCTCTACTGCTTGAGACATAGCGCCACTTCTGGTTTTTGAGTGGTTAATTGGAGATAAGAGTCTCTGGCTTTGAACCACAATCCTCAGATCTTAGCCTCCTGAGTAGCTAGGATCACAGGCATTAGCCACTGGCACCCAGCAGCCTAGAAATTCTTTACCCAATGGGATTTGCTTAATAATGTTCTGGATTCTTGAGGCTGGCTAAGTCAGAGGATATCTGGGGTTCAAGCCTCCGCCCTCCCCATCACCTCTTGGGAGATTAGGACATCAACTAATTTTCTTCTTTCCATGTATTTGATGCTGAGAGGATCGATAGTAAGTACCGTGATGCTTCTCTGGATGTGTGTGTGTGTTTGTGTACACACATGTGTGCGTGCATGCGCATCCTTTTATTTTTCAATACTTGCTTGTTTCTCCTTTTGTTTTTACAGTGAATACAATCAAGTAGTATTGAGAAATTTTACTGGAAGAAGAGACATGAGACTGAAGATATCACTTTTAAAAGAACCAAAGCATATCCTTTTAATAACATAAACCTTCATGTAATAATTTATTAGATTATTGGTGAAAGTTTATTTTTCTCCCATTCCTTTAATATGGTATAGTTTAGCAAAACCGTTTTTGAAAATTTTGAGATCAGGTGGTACAGGTATCTCTCTCTCTCTCTCTCTCTCTCTCTCTCTCTCTCTCTCTTTCTCTCTTGTGTTGGTACTGGGGCTTGTACTCAGGGCCTAGGCACTATCCCTTAGCTCTCAAAGCTGGAATTCTGCCACTTGAAACACACCTCTACTTCCAGCTTTTTGCTGGTTAGTTGGAAATAAGAGTCTCAGGGATGTTCCTGTCTAGACTGGCTTCTAACTGTAACCCTCAGATCTCAGCATCCCAAGGATCAGAGGTGTGAGCCACTAGTGCCCAGCTCAAGTTTAGGACTCCTGTGGGCTTTATGCTTTCTTGACATGGCATCACATCAGGAGCTGGTGAGCTGCGTGGGCTGGACCACTGCTGAAGAATTGTACTCGTGCAGCGATGACCACCAGATAGTGAAGTGGAACCTGTTAACCAGTGAGACCAGTCAAATAGTAAAACTTCCTGATGACATTTACCCCATTGACCTTCACTGGTTTCCAAAAAACTTAGGTATAAAGAAACAGACTCAAGCAGAAAGCTTTGTCCTTACAAGTTCGGATGGTAAGTTGTCAAATATTATATGCTCATCTTGTGAGCATATAAAATATATTAGCTCATCTAATAAATAATGGCTCCCAATATATTAGTGTGACTAGTGTGACTTGTGCTTTGAGTTGTTTTATAAAGCTGCATACCTTCCTGTAGTTTATCTGATTTTCTGTGTAGTCATTTGGTGGGTGTATAGACTACAGAATTTTTGTTATTGTTGCAGAGGCAAGGGACTTCATCTGGTTTAAACCAGGATTGAATTTGGTTTTTGAGTTCGCTTCTGCATAGAGATTAGCTGTTTTCACTATTTTGGTTTCTTACTTATTAATAATGTAACTACATAAAGATGTGGATGTGCTTATTCATTTAGTTAGCTGCCTATAAAATATGGTATGTTCCAGCACATAAATTTCTAATTAGAGTTGAATATTTATATAATTTGATCATAATTTTATGACTGGTGAATAGAAAACATAATTTTCATACCTTGTTTTGGGAAACAGGCTCTAGTACTATGTATCCCAGGTAAGACTCAAACTCTCAATCCTTCTACTTGAACCTTGTGAGGGCTGGTATTACAAATGTGTGCTATTAGGGCCAGCTTGATTTTTCTTTTTTTTTTTTTTTTAAGGAATATTTTTGTTTTCTTGGAAATACTTGAACTGTTTTCATCCGTATTATACTCTACCTGCTTTGTCAATTGGGTATACTAATTGTGGGACATTGATTGTAAGTTACAGAAACTTACCTGGGTAACTTATGCACATGCAAATGGAGTTCTTTTTTTATGTGTCCTGTATCTTCAGAGATAGCTGTGTTAGTTCCCGATTCTGACAGTCTTGTGTCTGGTTCTGCCCACATGCTTAACTTAATGATGGCCATTAAGCCAAGACTCATCACACTGCCTAAGAAATGGTGACAGAGAGTGCTTTTCCTCACTATTTCTTACAAGTTAGTTGCAGCATCCTCTTGAGTGCGGGCCTTGAGCCATCACTGAGTAAATGAACTATTTTACTGAAGAAAGGGGACACAACTATGCAGATCAAGCCTTACGCTAATACATACAAGAAGAGGAGGGAGAAAAGGGAAGAGGGATTTGTAATCAGAGGAGGAAGGGGTGCTGTGGACTTCAGTGATAGAGAAGCCGGGTTTGTGTTCTTTTTTTTTTCTTTTTTTTGGGTCCGGTCGTGGGGCCTGAACTCTGGGCCTGGACGCTGTCCCTCAGCTCTTCAGCTCAAGGCTAGCGCTCTACCACTTGAGCCATAGCGCCACTTCCGGCTTTTTTCTTTTTGCTTATGTGGTGCTGAGGAATCGAACCCAGGGCCTCAGGCATGCAAGCAAGTGCTCTACCACTGAGCCACCTTCCCAGCCCATATGTTCTTTTTACTTAGTTTTTCTACAGCTTGATTAAATGTGTATTTTCTAGGAAATGGATGACTACTTTTTTGTTTTTTTTTGGTCGGTTGTGGGGCTTGAACTCTGGGCTTGGGTGCTGTCCCTGCGTTCTTCAGCTCAAGGCGAGTGCTCTACTGCTTGAGCCACAGCGCCACTTCCGGCTTTCTAGTGGTTTATTGGAGATAAGAGTCTCATGGACTTTCTTGCCAGGGCTGGCTTTGAACCGCGATCCTCAGATCTCAGCCTCCTGAGTAGCTAGTATTACAGGCTTGAGCCACCGGTGCCTGGCCGATGACTACTTTTTATTACTTTTATTTGTTCAGTGCCTCCTAAGTTATATGTGTAAAAAATATCTGAAGATAGATTAAGAGGTATACTAGCTCAGGCTAAGCAAGAGCAGGAGCCTGAGTTCAAACCCAGCACCAGCAAAAAGAGAAATACATAAAAAAATTTTTAGTATTTGCTTAATGTTTTTGCTTTTGGACTTTTTGTTTTTTTGCCTTTGTAGTATTTTTTATACAAGAATTCTGGAGCCCAGCATGGCCTTGAACTCAAAATCCTCATTTCACAGTCTCTTGAGTGCTGGGATTACAGGTGTGTACTACCATACCTGACAATCTTTATTTCTAATTGAGGTTGAAAGTCAAAGTCTTGTATTCAAAAGTTACCTGCCTTGTGCACTGCTTGCACATGATTGTTCATTTGAAATATAAGTAGGTATATTTGTTTTCCATTTAAGGTTTTCTCCTTCTCCATCCTTTTAGTTTATGTTAACAAATTTGTAAAATACTAATATGGATAGTTCCACTGAGTCAAAATACAATATATATGCAGAGTAATGTCATTAATCTTACCCACCCAATTGCACATACCCTTTTTCTGTTCTCATTTTTTGCTTCTGATTTGTTCTTCCTTTGTTTCTTTTGGCAAAATAGATATATGTTTTCTCAGTTTACATTTTTTGTCACACATACATTACCACCTTTTTTGCCTTTTTAAAAAAGTCAGCACTAGACAAAGATCAACAGCATGTATGTATGTATGTAGGTATGTATGTGCCAGTACTAGAGGGTTTGGGTGTTGTCCTTTAGCTTTTTAATCAAGGCTGGTGTTCTACCATGAGACACAGCTCCAGTTCCAGCTTTTTTGCTGTTTAATTGGAGATGAGTCTCGTGGACTTTCCTGCCTGGGAATCTCAGCCTCCTGAATGGCTAGGAGTACAGGTGTGAGCCATGGGTGCCAGACTCTCTTTTGTAAGAACAATTTTCTTTTTAACTGCTCTTGGGACTTGAACTCTGGCCCTGAGCCCTACCTCTGGGCTCCTTTTGCTCAAGGCTCATAATCCACCACTTGAGCCACAGTTCAACTTCCAGCTTTTTCTGTGATTAACTGGAGATAAGAGTCCAGGTTGGCTTTGAAGCATGATCCTCACATATCTACCTCTTGAGTAGCTAGGATTACAGGTGTGAGCCAGCAGTGCTGGCTCACTCTAATAAATTTATAAAATGTACAATCATCTAATAATGTCAACCCAGTATTTAAAAGTAAAATCATTTGAGGCTTAATTCATAGCTCAGAAGTTCTTCCTTCAGTTTTCCTCATGGTTTTTCTCCCCTCAGTGTGGCAGAAGAGGAAGTCCTAGTTTGTTAATTTGTTCTCCATGCTTTCTTGGTTCCCTTTTCTGGCCCTCTTTTCTTCTGAAATTCTGATAAACTTACATTATTGAAGGGTCTTAGGATTTGGAGACAGTTCTTGAAGTATGTACCACAGACTTTTTACACATAATGTGAAATTTTTACACTTGAAGAATTTATAAGGAATTAAAATTTTAAAAAGGATTTAAAATGTAGTAAAGGAGTCAGGTGCTGGTGGCTCACACATGTAATCCTAGCTACTTAGGAGGTTGAGATCTGAGGATCGTGGTTCAAAGCCAGCCAGGGTAGGAAAGTCCGTGAGACTCTTATCTCCAATAAACCACCAGAAAACTGGAAGTGGCCCTGTAGTTCAAGTGGTAGAGTGCTAGCCTTCAACTGAAGAGCTGAGGGACAACACTTAGGCCCAGAGTTCAAGCCTCATGACTGGCAAAAAGAAAAAAAGTAGTAAAGGAATTGTTGTGTAATGGAATTCTAGTATGAATAGCCTTCAGCCTTCAGGTATGAAATCTTTCATAAAGCCACTCAGCATTCTTAAATTGTATTTATTAGAAGCTATGAATTTTTTAATTGTATTGAATATTTTAGATATTTTTACATTTTTTGGACATCAGGATAATCCCTACTTCTCCCATTAGTTAGTATACCTATTTGTTAATTACTTAATTTATTTTTATTTATTTTTACTTATTTTTTAAATATTAGAGCGTAGGCCTTAGAAAGGCTGGGCTATAGTTGAGTGGTAAAGTGCTTTCCCTGCATGGGTGAGGCCCCTGGTTCCTCCCCAGCTCCCCAGCCCCCAACAGGAAAGGTAGCCATTAGTACCTCTTTGTGGCTTTTTCCTGCTGTCTGCCAAGATCTTTCTATAATTAGGCAGTCTGCACAAGTGTATAGAGCTTGCTACAAGGACAAAGTCAGGTTCAATCCCTAGTATCTCCCCATTTCTCTCACCAAAAAAAGGGCTTGTGTGTTTTTTATCCAGAAACTCTGTTATAAACCTTCTTGTTCTCATGAATATTTCTTAAAACATTGGTAATATTTATAAGTATTTATAATACTTTAAATCTGCTTCCTCTTCTTTTTGTTTTTCATTTTACTTTTCGTAGTATGAGGTATCAAATCCGGGGTCTGTCATTCTGTCATTCAACTGCACACTAGAACTTCTCAATTTTGTGTATGTTTGGGTTTGATTTTAGAGCCTTGTGCTTAGAAAGTAAGCTATCATGCCTTTTTTTTGGTGTCCAGTTCTGGGGCTTGAACTCAGGGCTTAGGTGCTCTCTCTGAGCCTCTTTGTGCTCAAGGCTAGTGTTCTACCACTTGAGCCACAGTGCCATTTCAACTTTTTCTTAGTAGTTTACTAGTGATAAGAGTCTCATGGACTTTCTTGCCCAGGTTGGCTTTGAACTGCAATCCTAAGATTTCTGTTCAGCAGCAGGGATTACAGGCGTGAGCCACTGGCACCTGGCTCTCTATCATGCCTTTTTAATAATTTTATTTATTTATTTTAAGGAAAACGAGGAAAGTTGTAGAGACGCTATAGTTAAATGGCTAGTTATGGGTTTTTTATAAGTTTACTTACATAAGCTTTTTTTTTTTTTTTAAAGGTTTTGAGTCATTGTATATAACTCAGGTTGGCTTGGAACTTAGAACTTGCTGTGTAGCTCAGGATGGCCTTGAACTTGTGATCCTTCCACTTTAACCTCCTGAGTGCTAGGACCAAGGAAATGCATAACCATTTCTTGTACCGACTTTTGTAATTTTATATTTCTGTTTTACTGGGATATGCTGTATAAGCAGTTTATAACAATAGAAAGAAGTCCAAGATTATTGTTAAATTTGTACATAAGGTGATCTTAGAGCCATGTGCAAGTAGCTCACATCTATAATCCTACCTATACAAGAGGCTGAGATCTAAGTATTGCAGTTTGAAGCTAGCTCAGGCAGGAGAAGTCTGAGGAATTTTTATCTCCCAATTAATCACAAAAAGCCAGAAGTGGTGCTGTGGCTTAAGTTGTAGCCTTGAGCAAAAGAGCTCAGGAACAGTGTCCAGGCCCAGAGTTCATGTCCCAGGACTGGCACAAAAAAAGATGGCTTCAGATTCCTGAGATATGTCTTTTTTTTTTTTTTTTTTTTGGTCGGTTGTGAGGCTTGAACTCTGGGTCTGGGCGCTATCCCTCAGCTCTTCAGCTCAAGGCGAGCGCTCTACCGCTTGAGCCTCAGCACCACTTCCCGTTTTCTAGTGGTTTGTTGGAGATTGAGAGTCTCATGGACTTTCCTGCCCGGGTTGGCTTTGAACTGTGATCCTCAGATCTCAGCCTCCTGAATAGCTATGATTACAGGCGTGAGCCACCGGTGCCCGGCTCCTAAGATATGTCTTACATGGGTTATAAGAGAATACTTTTAACACTTGCCAGAAAATCTGTAGTATTTTTTGATAAGAAATATTAGTAATCTAAATACATATTCTCTCTGAAGTTAGAGACGTTGAAAAGACAGTTTTTGGACCCTATATTTCTGGCCAAGAGTGATTTGTTAATTTTTGATGGGTTTATTCATTAACTGCAATAGTTGTTTATTATATGGAGATATCATGTACAAGGCATGATGCTACCATAGAGTAAGTAACTGGCACCAGATTAGCTTTGCACTTCACGCCCATTGCATCTTTACAGTGTCTTCCTGGAGAGGAGACTTTTTGCCTTGTATTTTCTTTGTCAAGCAATTACATAGTGCCTGGCACAATGCAAAACCATAGGCGGCAAGTATTTTCAGCTATTTAACTATCTTCTACTTTATTCATAGATGGGGAGTTGAGTACACACAATGCCAACTTCTGCTCAGATAAAGACTTTGTTAGCATGTCTTCTGGCCCTTGGGCTAGATTCCAGCACAGTTTCAGTGGCCTCTGCACTGTCGTCTCCATGCACACATGTGGCCATTCTACTGTTTGCTTCAAGGTTTCATCATTTTGTTCTGTGCCAATCTTCAAAGCATTTGTGTGTGTGTCCCTTGAGGTTAAGAATACTTGTTTTTTTTTGGGTCCAGTTGTGGGGTCTGAACGCTGGGCCTGGGCGCTGTCCCTCAGCTCTTCAGCTCAAGGCTAGCACTCTACCACTTGAGCCACAGCGCCACTTCCGGCTTTTTTCTTTTTGCTTATGTGGTGCTGAGGAATCAAACCCAGGGCCTCATGCATGCAAGGCAAGCACTCTACCACTGAGCCACCTTCCCAGCCCAGAATACTTGTATTATTATTTAGAAATGCAGTACCTATCAACTATGCTAGTCTTGCTGTGGATGTTGAAAAGTGGATAAGTTAATTGGATAAAAAAGACTCCTTTGAATCTATTTCTTGTAGGTAAATTCCATCTGATTTCCAAGTTAGGAAGAGTGGAAAAGAGTGTGGAAGCTCACTGTGGGGCCGTGCTTGCGGGAAGGTGGAATTATGAAGGAACAGCACTAGTGACAGGTAAGTTTCCACAACAATATCTTTCTGCTGCAATCAACCCCAGTGCTTCACCCAGACAAGCGTTCTATCTGTGAGGGATGCCCAAGATAGCACTGTAAATGTAGTGTTCTTTTTTTTTTTTTTTTGGTGCTGGTACTGGGGCTTGAACTCATTCTCTCATGCTCCTCTTGCTTTCACTAAGCTTTTTACTTAAGGCTGACACTCTTATTACTTGAGCCATTCCTCTACTTCTGCCTTTTTGCTGGTTAATTGGAGATAAGAATCCCAGGGATTGTTTTTCTGAGTTGCCTTTGAATGGTGATCCCCAGATCAGGGTAATCCTAGAACAGATGTGAGTCACTGACACTTGGCTTAAATGAATTTTTAAAGGAAAATCTCCAAAGAAACAGTATTTTCATTTAGCAGTAGTATCTTTAACTGTCTGATGGTAAATACCTGGCACAGGATTGATGTATTATTAAGAGTATCATTAATTGTTCATTTTCTTACATGACTTTGAAGACTGTTCTATCGAAGAAGGCTTTCAGGATGGTCAAATATGGAGTAAAAAATTATTATTCTTTAGAATTCCAAATATTTTCCTTTACCTTACCTTTATCCCCCTTGTGTTTCCCTCTCATCTCTGTCCTCCTCTGAGGAGTTGCTCTGGCTCATTGTGTTAATTGTCCATTACAGTAGATGAGTGCCTAACAGGTAGTGACTAAAGATGATAAACACACAGTAGGGGTCAGAGAGCAGTGTAGGTGGGTGCCTCCCTCTTGTCATGGTCTCCCATGAGGCTCCTGTTCAAGGCTACAGTCACAAAAGGCTTGAGGGGTCTTGAGCCAGGAGGACCAATTCCAACCTGGCTCACTCAGTGGCTCTTGACAGGAGGCCCTGGTTCCTCCCTGGCTCTGACAGGAAACTATAATTCCTTGCTACGTAGGCATCTCCATCAGGCTGATTCTTCCAGTGATCCAAACACTAGCAAGATAGCAGCTACAGTCTTTTATGACTCACCCTCAGAAATCATACTCTCATTTAGACCATCACAGTTTTTTCATTAGAAACAAGTCAGTAAGTACAGCCTATATTGAAGAGGAGAACATTGAAACTGCACCTATTGAACATATAGAGATATATTTTGTGGAGATACTTTTAAAACTGCCATAACTATCCTCCGGGCCTTCTGTAGTGGGACTTTTTTCACTGAATGGTCTCTTCCCTCACCTGTACTTTTAGCTTCCCTTTTTCAAGAGGATTCTTTTTCAGCATATAACTGTGTCCTTTTAGAGCAGGAAGGAAATATAAATCTCAGGCTGAGGATGCAGCTCAGTGGTAGAGCAGTAATCTGGCATGCAGAAGACCCCAGGTCCAATCCACAGCATTGATTGCAAAAATAAAGAAGAATAGAATGGAATAAAATGAATCCAAATGAAATAAAGAATTGAAATGGTAAATACATAATAAAATCCCCTCAGCAACTCTCTAGCTACAACCTTTTCTTCCCTTTTCAGCTAAGCTATTCAAGAGCAATCTGCTATTTTACTTGGTTTACTCCTCAGCTCACTGGCAGTTGGCTGTAGCAGTTCTTACTACACTGAAATTACTTCCTACAATTCAAAGTAGAGTTTACAGTAATAGTGGAATAGCATGTTCACAAGGTTTTTGTTGAAGGAAAAAAAATTTTAGTCATGGAAGTTAAGACTACATTGATGAAATTGTTTGAAAATAATGCCTATTGATTTCACAGTTATAGCCACTTGTTCAATTAGAATAAGTTGTATCTTAACTATACATTAATATACTTTGATATGTATATACAGAAACTGAATTTTATTTTCTACAGATAAAAATATTTTTCCCCCTCTGTATAGTTGGAGAAGATGGACAAATCAAAATCTGGTCAAAAACTGGGATGCTCAGATCAACATTAGCTCAGCAAGGTATGCTATGTAACTTTGAAAAAATTTGAAAATTATAAAATACAAAATGGTTTAACATTTTCCTTTATAAACAGTCTATAGAGTGATCGGTATTGACTTTGGTCAAGTTCAAAACCTAAAATCTTTTTATTTCTCCTTTTACTTTGTATTCTCATTTCTACAATGCCTAATGGACGATGGAAGCCACATTACTCAGTCCGTGAAGTATGAGAAATACTCATGCTTTTCTGTACATTAGTAAATCTGTGTAAATGCATTGGCAGGCTAGGATATTCCTTTAACACAATTGTGAAGCACTTGCATCATATCCTACATAGATTTAGAGTTGGGTTCCTAGGGAATTAGCATATGTGGTAGCATATGACTGCCATTTCAGCATTTAAGAGACAGAGGCAGGAGGATTGTGAGTTTGAAGCCAGCAGTGTTCAAGGCCTGCCTGAGCTGTTTCAGTGTTTCAGAATACTAGTGTCTTGAAGATTTGGTTCAGTGGTAGAGTGTTCTCTAGCACATGAAAAGCCCTAGGATCAATCCCCATAACTGGAGAAAAAAAAGGAAGATCATAGGAAGAGAAAAGGTTTATCTCCTTACTTTTACTATGTCCCAATAACATTGTGTAGTATTAGCACCCACCTAGTTGCTGTCCTAATGGAGGGAACTTACACACTGGTGATCTCAGACCTGATAACCCACACTATCTAAAGGAACCTCTCAAATGTCCGAGGTTAAGAGAACCGCGTAGCAGAAAGTCATCCAGTAGTCACTCCTGCTGGGATTCAGTTTGTGTATAATCCTTTCCTTTGTGGCAGATAATACTCATAATTAGGTTTTATGTAAGTCAGGGAAGTAGTTTAAATGTTGACCAGGTGTGTATCTGCAGAGACAGGTTGGTGAAAGACTTACAGATTGTTCTTTTTTTTTGGGGGGGGGGGGGGGGGTCTGGTCATGGAGCCTGAACTCTGGGCCTGGGTGCTGTCCCTCAGCTGTTCAGCTCAAGGCTAGCGCTCTACCACTTGAGCCACAGTGCCACTTCCAGCTTTTTTCTTTTTGCTTATGTGGTGCTGAAGAATTGAACCCAGGGCCTCAGGCATGCAAGGCAAGCGCTCTACCACTGAGCCACCTTCCCAACCCCCAGATTGTTCTTTTTAAAAAATTTTTTTTTTATTGTGAAGATACCGTATAGAGGGTTTACCATTACATGGGCAAGATAATGAGTACATTTCTTATCAAGCATTGTTGCCTCCTCCTTTGTTTCTCCTTCCCATCCCTTCCCATTACAGATTGTTCTTTATAATTATATGATAAAATTACGATGTGAAGCATCTACAACTGGATATGAACAATTTCCAAATTTCCTTTAAAAACTCGTTTGTTGTAAAAAGTAAAGTCAAGTCACATTTCTTTTTTTTGCCCCTCGTGGGGCCTGAATTCTGGGCCTGGGTACTGTCCCTCAGCTCTTCAGCTCAAGGTTAGTGCTCTACACTTGAGCCACAGTGCCACTTCTGACTTTTTCTGCTTATGTGGTACTGAGGAATCAAACCCAGGGCCTCATGCATGCAAGGCAAGCACTCTACCACTGAGCCACCTTCCCAGCCCCTCACATTTCTTTAACTATTCATTAACCCAATGTTAACAGAAATAACCAGAAATGCCACACAATGTTTCTCTTCTGAGGTTAAATCTTTGCTACCTTAGTCTCCAAGTAGAATATTTATCCATGAGTAGAAAATCTATAATTCACAGAGGATAATACATGAATTTCCTTTTAACAAAAGTCAGGTGCCGGGCTGAGAAGGTGGCTCAGTGGTAGAGTGCTTACCTCACATGCATGAGGGCCTGGGTTCGATTCCTTACCACCACATAAACAGAAAAGGCTGGAAATAGCACTAATGGCTCAAGTGGTAGAGTGCTAGCCTTGAGCTGAAGAGCTCAGGGACAGCGCCCAGGCCTAGAGTGCAAGCTCCAAGACCGACCTGCTTCCCCTCCCCCCCCCCCCCCCCAAAAAAAAAAGTCAAGTACCAATGGCTTACATCTGTAATGCTAACTACTCAGGAGACTGAGATATGAGTGTCATAGTTTGAAGGCAGCCTGAGCAGGAAAGTCCATGAGACTTTTGCTTTGTCTTTTATATTACCCTGTTCTGTAGCTACCTACTTCACATTCTTAGAGGCAATACTGTTACCATTTTTTGTGTAGTAAATACATACTTTCCCTTTATGAACAAGGGGCTGCATGCTATTGTATATTTCTTGCTTTTTGACTCCACCTGAATCATGAACTATCTTGCAGAAATTTTCATTTTACCATACATAAAAATCTTCCTTGCTGGGTGCCGGTGGCTCACACCTGTAATCCTAGCTACTCAGGAGGCTGAGATCTGAGGATCATGGTTCAAAGCCAGCCCCGGCAGGAAAGTCCGTGAGACTATCTCCAGTGAACCACTAGAAAACCGGAAGTGGCACTGTGGCTCAAGTGGTAGAGTGCTTGCTTTGAGCTGAAGAGCTGAGGGATAGTGCTCTGGGCCTGGGCCCATTACTGACTCCCTCCCCCCCCCAAATAAAAAAAAAAAATCTTCCTTAAACTTTTTTTTCAAAGTGGATGTACTAGCAGAAAATGAAGTTCTAGTTTCTTTATATCTTCCTAATGCTTGTTTTTAATGCTTTGTTTGTTTTTTGTGGTGCTAAGGATTGAACCTTGGATTTCATGCATTGTTTTATTTTCTTCATTTATTCTTAAGGGCCTCAAAGATTCTAACCATGCATTCTACCATTGAGCTGTACTTCTAGCCCTTGTCTGTAGTTTTAATTATAATCTATTGTTTGTGAAAGTGGTATTTCATTGTGGTTTTTGACTTGTATTCTCCTGATGGCTACTGAGATTGAATATCTTTTCATCTGTTTATTGGACATTATATATATATATATATATATATATATATATATATATATATATATATATATATATATATATATATATATATATACTTGGGAGAAATATCTATTCCTTTGCCTGTTTTTAAATACTATTGGAAAGGCTTTCCAGAAAATATTGTAACATCTTATCAAGTTTTGTTTTCATTTTTGTTGGTCATAGGGGTCAGGGCTTGGGTGTCCAAGGCTAGCACCCACCATTTTTGTTGTTGTTGTTGTTGTTCATAGGGCTTGAACTCTGGGCCTTGGCACTGTCCCTGAGCTTTTTAGCTTAAGGCGAGCGCTTTACCACTTGAGCTACAGTGCTACTTCTGGCTTTTTCTGTGTATGTGGTACTAAGGAATTGAACCCCATGCTTCATGCATGCTAGGCAAGCACTCTACCACTAGGCCATATTCTCAGCCCCACCCTACCATTTTGAGCCACAGCTCTACTTCCATTTCCTGCCCAGTCTGGCTTTGAACTGTGATCCTCAGATCTCAGCTTCCTGAGTCACTAGGATTATAGGCATGAAACACCAGCACCTGACTCTTACCAAGTTTTTGAAGGATGAAGAAATTAGGTAAGAAAATGGGCTTTTTGGCCTCAGAGCTGTGGAGGAAGTTAGCATGCTCAGAAGCATGAAGACGGTAGAACAAGAGGCACAAAAGTCAGATGTGTGGAGCAGACACTGGACCAGGGTGCAGGCTGCATGAGGGGTGGTGCCACCAGAAGAGGGAAGACCCTGACAGCCCTGGGTGCTGGATGAAGGGTGTGGAGTTACTCTGCAAACATACGTATTAGCTTCATTTTCACACAAACAACCAAAGAGTAGGAGAGACTTATTTTGGCTCCTGGTTTCAAGGGTGTCAGTCTGTGGTGTCTGGCCTTTGTTTCTGGGTTATCATGAGGTAAAGCATGATGGCAGGAGCAGGAGTGGAGAAGGGTCTTTTATCTTATGGTGAACAGGAAGCAGAGAGACATAGAAGGGCCCTTAATAAGATACAGTTCCCAAGGACTAGTGATCTATTTCCTCCTAAACTTTCAACCACATCCCCAAATAGCACTACCAGTTAGGAACCAAAGGTTATACATGAGCCTAGGGGGATATTTCATATTCAAACCGCAACAACATACAGAACCGTAAAAGAAAATGCACACTAGGAGACTACGAGACATGACTGTCTCTTAGGACATTTACATTGGCAGGACATGCAGAATAAATTGGAGGAAGTTGAAATTAGCTGAAATGTGCCTTTCAAATTAGATGAAAGTTTCTGTGCTAGTGCTGCTTCAGGTTTGAGGGGGTGGTGGTAATAGTTCCCAGGGGCTGAAAGGGATGGATGCCCCTTAGGGGTGAGAAGTTCAGAGAGGAGAATAGTGTACAGTGTGTGTGGAGATGAGGGTGATTTTGAATATGTGGAGTTTGAAATTTTGGTATGGAGGTTTCTTTGGGGCAAGTAGAAATGAGTAATACATCAGAGGCTAAAATGTTAACTTGGTAGTCAATTACATAAAGGCGAAAGACGAAAAGAGATTCTGTGAGGGGTGTTGAGACCCTACCTCCACCCAGAGGGAGAGGTGACTGAGCCTGGAAAGCAAAGAACAAATCCTTTCTTTAAGCTTTCTCTTGAATTGACCTAGTGACAAACATAACCAAGCATGTTCTTGTTTTGAATAGATAAATCCTTGATTAATTATTGTTAGTACAAGTCTTCTACAAATACAAGAAAGGAAACAATTCTTTTGTTTTTGAACTCTTAATAATTTGGCCAAAAAATTGAATGGCAAGGGGAACAAACAACCCAGTAAACTCATGGCTACTTACTGTATTACAAAGTTGTTTCCGGTAGTAGCGGTGGACAGATAGTACTTTTTAGTGTCAGACTTCATTGTAGGCCTTCTATTCATAGAACTCTGCTGTTTTCAGAGCTGATAGTTAACGTTGAACAGTTTGTTTCAAATGCATTTTTAAAAACATACAGAAATACTTTGATGGAATACCTTTATAGTATGAATTTGAAAAACAGGGTCTGTTTGACCAAGTACTTCCTTAAACATTTGAAATACATTTTTGTCTCCTCTTCTGTGGTTTAAAATGCCTTCAACAGGTTGAAAGAATTTAGATAATTTGTTTTACAGAGAGATAAGGGTCTGACATTTAACACAACCCCAGGTGCGTGTGGTTTCTTAAAAAATGTCAAAAAGGTCACATGCTTTTAGTGTACAGAGTCAGAAAAACAAGATCTTTTTGAGTGCCTTAACTGAAATGGAGCATAAATAAAAATTCCCAATACAAAAAGCTAGACATTAGTTAGTTATTATAAGGTTAATTTGTGTGTCTGTCCATCTCTGCTAATAATAGTACATCTTGATATGCAATTTGCTAAATTTTTGTTTTGAAGTTATTATAATCTGAAACTTAATTTTTTTTTCACATTTTTTTTATTGTTTTCTTACCAAAAAAATTTTTATACTGACTTTTGCACTATGAAGTTCAACACTGGGAATAATTCATGCTTTCATAAGTATGTTACAACTACATTTTATATGCTTGAGTTTGTCTCAAGTGCTAGTGGGATGGATTTGATCATAATAGAAATCATTATTTTCTAAAAAGTAACAGACTTTAAAGAAAGATAAATCATTCATTTCTTTGTGAAGCCAATTCATCCACTTTGAACAGTGGTCTGTATCAGGACTATTCTTGCGGAAATGTACATAGCTATGTTGTTCATCTCCATTTTTCGAAAGAAACATACACACACAGAATATATATACATATCTTATGTATATATATATATATATATATATATATATATATATATACAGATTACATATCTATATTCATCTCCACTTAAAAAGGAACCATTTCTGTGTAATATGTATAAATGAATGAAGATATACAGTAGTTTCACAATGAGTATTTTATTTAAGTGAAAGGGCATAATGAAGACTCTTTTTTTTATATATATATATTTTTTTGGGTCTGGTTGTGGGGCCTGAACTCTGGGCCTGGACACTGTCCCTTAGCTCTTCAGCTCAAGGCTAGCACTCTACCACTTGAGCCATAGCGCCACTTCTGGCTTTTTTTTTCTGCTTATGTGGTGCTGAGGAATTGAACCCAGGGCCTCATGCATGCAAGGCAAGCACTCTACCACTGAGCCACCTTCCCAGCCTCACGAAGACTTTTTTGTTCTTTTTTTTTTGGGGGGGGGGGGGTCTGGTCGTGGGGCCTGAACTCTGGGCTTGGGCGCTGTCCCTCAGCTGTTCAGCTCAAGGCTAGCGCTCTACCACTTGAGCCACAGCGCCACTTCCAGCTTTTTTCTTTTTGCTTATGTGGTGCTGAGGAATTGAACCCAGGGCCTCAGGCATGCAAGGCAAGCGCTCTACCACTGAGCCACCTTCCCAGCCCCCTTTTTTTGTTCTTAATGTGATACCTATTTTGTATTTTTAATGAGTAAGAGAGATGAACTAATAATAAGACTTAGCTATTGATCTTACTTAGGGTTGCTTGTTTATCATAAAGAACTCTGTATTTGTTCCCATTGCTTGTATTTGATACTAGGAATATGATTAAATAGTATGTTAATACAAAGGAGTTACTTAACTTTCCTCTATAAACGTCTTTTGTTTTCTGCTACAAATTTTCCTGTTCTTTAGTAGTCTTATTATTTAGTAGTCTTTAGTAGTCTTATTGTTGAATCAGGAACTAGTCTCTTGTCCCAACAGGGGCAGGTAAGTGTTCTAAAAACAGGTTTATAAACTAGGAAATGATGACACAGCTGACTTAATCGGGCCACAAATTGAGGATGAAAGCATCTCTAGCTCCTCATCCTATGCCCAACTGTGTCTTTTACCACACTGGAGGCCTGAAGTCACATCTTGTATGTGACTTTTGGAGGGACTTGTGCTTACTGAATTGCTTCCTGGGATCTGTGTCTGTTAAAATGTAGCGTATACTCCAGGAAAGTGTAACTTTTTTTTTTGTTTGCTTGTTTTTTTGGGTCTGGTCATGGGGCCTGAACTCTGGGCCTGGATGCTGTCCCTCAGCTCTTCAGCTCAAGGCTAGCGCTCTACCATTTGAGCCACAGTGCCACTTCTGGCTTTTTTCTTTTTGCTTATGTGGTGCTGAAGAATCGAACCCAAGGCCTCTGGCATGCAAGGCATGCGCTCTACCACTGAGCCACCTTCCCAGCCCCAGGAAAGTGTAACTTAATGTGGTCAGGAAGACTTGATAGCCTCTACAGTAAAACTAAATTAAAAATATAGCATGCCCCTGGTGGTGGTAGTACAGATCTACAATCCCAGCATTTGGGAGACAGAAGCAGAAAGATGGCAAGTTCAAGGCTAGCCTGGATTATATAGACTCTGATTGCAACAAACAAAATATAGCATTGCCAGTGGGTCATAAGATTTTTAAAATATTAACTATTAATAAAATTCTGTTTATTAATATTAGCTCAGTCTGTATTTCAGTATCAAGCTTTTTCCAGTTTAAAAGGGCTACTATAAAAGGAAGAAATGAAATGACACCCCATATTCCTTTATTGGCCCTTGTAACAGTCTCGATATTAATTTTTATTCATTTATTTTTCAAATTTACTTTTTGTTTTGTGTCAGTACTGAGACTTGAACTCAGGGTCTGGGTGTTGTCCTTTATCTTTTTTTGCTCAAGGCTAGAGCTCTACCACTTGAATCTTACCTTTACTTCTGGCTTTTTGGAGTTGGCAATAAGAGTCTCATGGACTTTCCTATTTGTCTGGCTTAGTGTGGTGATGCTCAGATCTCAGCCTCCTGAGTAGTTAGGATTATAGGTGTGAGCCACTGATGCTCAGTTGTGATTGTTAGCTTGATTGGATTGAGAAATGCCCAGCAGATTTAGAAAAGCACCTTGTAGCTAATTTCAAAGACCTTTAGATTGTGAAAGTTCTAATAAATAGTTTGTTCCGCTGGTGGATTAAAAATGTGAATAGACTAATCTGTGGTGAGGTGTTGAATGTGGAAGGTAGGGCCTGGCTGGAGGAAGCTAGTGACAGGGGAGAGTATCTGAGAAGGGCATAGCTTGTTCTCGCTCTGTCTCTTGCTCAGCTTCTTGGTTGCCATGAGCTGAGAAGTTATCCTCTACCTTGCCCTTCCCTCCATGATAGACCAAAGCCTCTGAATCTGTGAGGAAATCTATCCTTCCTTCTTTACATTAGTTCCATCAGTATTATGTCACGACAATGAAAAAGTCTGACTGACACAGCCTAATAGTGAAAGTTGTTCAGCATCTTTTTCCTTTTCTGTCTTTGACAGGAACACCAGTGTATTCAGTAGCCTGGGGCCCAGATTCAGAGAAGGTTCTTTACACCGCAGGCAAGCAGCTCATCATTAAACCTCTCCAACCAAATGCAAAAGTTTCACAGGTACTGCTCAGGTATTTGTAAATTGCTATCCAGATCTACCTACATGTTAAGCTAGTAGTTACTTAAAATCTCTTTCTTCTGGGTGGTCTTTTTTTTACAGTCTGAGGTCTTTTAAGTGTGTAGTTTTATTAACCTTTATTATACATTAGGGAATATCTGTTTATGTTTCCAAGAAGGATTATTACTTTGTCCAATTCATATCATACCAGTAAATCATGAAGATGTTTTGGATTTCTGAATTTTCACATGACTTAGTACAGCTAGGAGTCTTTTACATTTATAGTCAGCTTCCATTGTATAGACTTGAAACTAAACGAAATCATAACTTTTGGATTTGCTTAGATTTTTTTTGTTTTTTACTTTATTTGATACAAAGTTTTACTAGGTAGTCCAGGCTGGCCTTGTCTCAGCCTCTAGAATGTTGGATTTATAGTATTTGTCATATGCCCATCAACTTTTTTGTTGTTGTTGTTCTTTAGTTATCGTTATAAGTTATCTTGTCAAACACTGAGCTCTCTTTAAGAGCTTTAGCTTTTAAAGAGAGTATTCGTATAATATAGAAAGTAAGCCTAATATTTAGAACAAATTAAGTATATAGAATTTTATGAATAACAGAATATTTAACTTAATGAAAAATATTGCATTTACATTTTCTCTTGTGCTGTTCAGAAAGCAGGAAGAGTTAGTATAGAAGTTCAGTATTTTTTTTAATTTTTTATTGTGAAAATACTGTACAGAGGGGTTACAATTACATGGGCAAGATAATGAGTACATTTCTTATCAAGCATTGTAGCCTCCTCCTTTGTTTCCCCTTCCCATCCATTCCCATCCCCCCCACCCCAGCCCCCCACCCAAGGAGAAAAGGGAAAGGTTGTTCTAAGCCCAGGATCCCCGAGGAAGGATTGTTCGTAAATTAGAAATGACAAACCAAGACCCACACAAAAACAAGCAAAACAATAATAGTACTTAAGAAAGATAAGATGGGACAAATACATGGAAAACTTAGTTTTTCTTTTTGGTATCAGTACTAAGACTTGAACTCAGGGCTTTGGTGCTGTCTCTTAGCTTTTTTGCTCAAGGTTGATATTCTACCACTTGAGCCATAGCTCCATTTCTGGCATTTTGATGGTCAATTGGAGGTAAGAGACTCGTGGACTTTGCTGCTTGGACTGGCTTTGAACCAGGATCCTCAGATCTCAGACTCCTGTGTAGCTAGGATTACAGATGTGAGCTCCTGGTGTCCCCGGTTATAGGCATTCTTTTTTTCAAAATTTTTTCTGGTATATGCATTCTTAATGTATTTCGAACATATAAATTCTCAGTAGTAGTACAATTGTGAATCAAACCTATAAAGGGTAAGGACAGTCCAAAGGCAGAGACCTGCCGGGCGCTGGTGGCTTACATCTGTAATCCTAGCTACTCAGGAGGCTGAGATCTGAGGACCGAGATTCAAAGCCAGCCCATGCAGGAAAGTCCGTGAAACTCCAATAAAACCACCAGAAAACCGGAAGTGGCGCTGTAACTCAAGTGGTAGAGCACTAGCCTTGAGCTGAAGCGCTGAGGGACAGCACTTAGACCCAGAGTTCAAGCCCCACGACCAACAAAAAAAAAAAAAAAAAAAAGGCAGAGACCATAAAGATAAGATAAAGAGAATGTTCAGAAAAAATTGAAGACATACTAAAGAATGATATGTAGAATGACAGTAGAGTTCAAGCAAAAGAAAACAAGGTAGGATATAGCTCAGTAGTAGAGCATACTTAGCTTGTCTGAGGCTCTGGACTGAATCTCAGTACCAGTAATGGGATCAACTGTACAAAGGATGCAGCCAGATTTGGATTCTATTGATAATCTGAAATATATAACATTTGTTTTAGTTTTTTCACATAAATGTCAGGCTTCAAATAGTTTAACACTAAGTGATTTCCATCTGGAATCTAGGCAACTGAGCGATTTAATGGAAATGTAAGCTATACAGTAGATATGGTGCTGTGAGCTGCTTTCATTGATGTAACTTGGAGATGGCACCAGCCAATAAGGCATAGCGCAGAATGTTAGAAGGAATAAAGTATTAGAAAGAAGCAAACAGCTAGACGTAGTAGTGTGCTCTTGTAGTCCTAACCACTCAAGAGTCTGAGCAGAAGGATTGCTTGAGCTTAGGAGTTCAGGGCCAGCTTAAGCAATGTAGTAAGACCTCTGTTACAAAAAATAAATAAATAAATAAAATATCCTTTTATAACAGAAAACAACCAGTGTGTGTGTGTGTGTGTGTGTGTGTGTGTGTGTGTGTGTGTGTGTGTGTGTGTGTGTGTGTGTGTGTGTGTGTGTGTGTGTGTGTGTGTGTGTGTGTGTGTGTGTGTGTGTCCTAGGAATTGAACTGAGGGACTGGGTATTATACATGAGCTTTTTTGTTCAGGGCTAGTATTCTACCACTTGAGCCACAGCTCCACCTCTGGCTTTTTGGTGGTGGTTAGTTGGAGATAAGAGTCTCATGGACTTTCATGACCAGGCCAGCTTTGAATTGTGATCCTCAGATCTCAGTCTTCTGAATAGCTAGGATTACAGGCATGAGTCATCAGTGCACAGCTAGAAAACTTTTAAAGTTATACTGTCTTTTTTTTTTTCTTACAGTGGAAAGCCCATGATGGCATAATTTTAAAAGTAGATTGGAACTCAGTCAATGATCTTATTTTATCTGCTGGTGAAGACTGCAAATATAAGGTATGTAATTGTTTACAGGTTTTTGATCAAAGAATAGCATGTAGATGAAAAGTATTTAGCATATATGGATATTCTTTTCAGTCTTTTCCCTTTAATAACCTAACAACTAACTTTCTAATTTTAACTGGTATTTTAAAATCCCAACTATAAAAATTGTCATTCACATTTAAAATTTAACTTAATAAGTAGCAACATCCGTTCAGCCTCTGGTTTTAGTGCCTTGATTTTAATCAGCTTGTTAAAATTTAAAAAAACTTTACTGCTTTACCAAATCTAGTCTATTTCAGAACATTGTTTTTTTATTAATAGTTGTACAAAAAGGTTTCAATTCCATAAGTCAGGTTATAAAAACAATGGATCTTGATAAGTTAGACCAAAGTAACTTGTGGAGAGTAAGGTTTTATTTCTTTTTGAAGTACTGGGGATTGAAATGGGGGCCTGGCACCTGCTAGGCAAGCTCGGTACCACTGAGGTGTATACTCCCAGGCCTCAGGAGAGAATTTAAAGTAACTGCAATTACGGGAACTTTAATTGAATTCAATTATTTTGGACAAAGTTGACAGAGCTCTCATTGAACAGAAAGAAATTTAAGTGAAATATTTAGCAGCTCAAACTTTTACTCTTAACCCTATGGCACTATGGAATTTGCTTTATCACTTTTAAATATACTAATATTTAAAATTTCTCAAAAAGTAAGTAAAGTTAACACTTAAAATAGATGGGTTTAATGTTTATGATTTAGCAAAATCTGAAAATTATAATACATTTTTTGAGATATTTAAGGTTCAAGGAATGCATTATATTTTTATCCCTTCTCTATAATAGTAAAGATATTTTATTGCTTATATTTTATGATTAGGATTCCTTCATTTTTATTTAAGGACAAAGTTCTTTGTAGTAATGGGATGATTGTTATAAAAGATTTTTTAAAAATTTGCTTTTATAGGTGTGGGATAGTTATGGCCGCCTTCTGTACAACTCACAGCCTCACGAACATCCCATTACCTCAGTTGCCTGGGCACCTGATGGAGAGATATTTGCTGTTGGGTCATTTAATACTTTACGCTTGTGTGATAAAACAGGGGTAAGTTCCCACGTGAGCACTTGCAGATGTGCTGTCAGATGTGGTGTTGCACCACATAACCGGTTCTCTCTCCTTTTATTTTTGTTGTTGTTGATTGTGGGCTTTGGGGCCTGGGTGCTGTCCTTCAGCTCTTCAGCTCAAGGTGAACACTCTACCACTTGAGCCACAGTGCCACATCCAATTTTCTAGTGGTTAATTGGAGATAAGGGTCTCACAGATATTCCTGCCTGGGTCGGCTTTGAACTTTGATCCCCAGATCTCAGCCTCCTGAGTAGCTTGGATTACAGGTGTGAGCCATAGGTGCCTGGAAGTGCAAAATATTTTTAGTGACTTGCATTTGACTGAATCTTTCTGATTTTTCTGCTGAGTGTATTGGTTCAATCAATTGTAGATTTATGGGCTTCTTCTCTGTTACTTGTTTTTCTAGAGATAATTCATTTTGACCAACTGAAAGATAGTAAAGTATTAAATTTGATGCCAATCAATATAGAGAGTACAGTTTTAATTTGTTTCAGCTATTAGTATGATTTGCACAAAATTTCAGTTGCTTTTATAAGGAATTAATAATAAATTAAAAAAATTAAAACCAAAGGTCATATTTTTCTTTGTTAAGAATTCATATTTGAATATGTGTCAGAATTTTTCTTTATAGGATATTCCCATTTTCATAAAACTGTTTAGAACTAAATAGCCAAGGTCAGCAACATTTACCCATTGTTACTGGAAAATGACTTATTCCACTGAAGAGCTATCAAGGCAGCAGTGACAGAAAGAGTTGGAGTTGTGTTATTCAGTTTTCTGTCTCTGTCACTATAGTGAAATACTTGAGAAAAATTATCTTTTTTTTTGTTTTTGGGGGTCCGGTCATGGGGCCTAAACTTGGGCCTGGGCGCTGTCCCTCTGCTCTTCAGCTCAAGGCTAGCGCTCTACCACTTGAGCCACAGCTCCTTTTCTGGCTTTTTTTCTTTTTGCTTATGTGGTGCTGGGGAATCAAACCTAGGGCCTCATGCATGCAAGGCAAGTGCTCTACCACTGAGCCACCTTCCCAGCCCCGAGAAAAATTATCTTAGAGAAAAAGTTTATTTGGTTTAGAGTTTTTGAGACTCCAGTCCATGATCAATTGGCCCTGTGTGTTGGGCCTGTGGCAAGGCAGAACATCATGGTAGGAATGAGGGGTAGAGCGCCTTTCATCAGCCAGGAAGTAAAAGAGAAAGAGGACTGGCTATGGTCCCATAAACCCACAGAGACCTAGAAAACCTCCTCAGAGCTGGCTGGAAGATACTCTCTTGTGCTGCTTCTGCTGTGGGATTGAACATTAAGCTCAATACAAGCCTTTTCTTTTTTCTTTTCCTTCTTTCCTTGCCTTCCTTCCTCCTCCCTCCCTCCATTCTCTCTCTCTCTCTCTCTCTCTCTCTCTCTCTCTCTTTTTAGGGAGGACAGGTCGTGGGGCCTGAACTCTGGGCCTGGGCGCTGTCCCTCAGCTCTTCAGCTCGAGGCTAGTGCTCTACCACTTGAGCCACAGCGCCACTTCCGGCTTTTTTCTTTTTGCTTATGTGGTGCTGAGGAATCGAACCCAGGGCCTCAGGCATGCAAGGCAAGCGCTCTACCACTGAGCCACCTTCCCAGCCCTCTCTTTCTTTCTTTCCAATTGTGGAGCTTGAACTCAGGGCCTGGGCGCTGTCCCTGAACTTCTTTTGCTCAAGGCTAGCACTCTACCTCTTGAGCTACAGCATCACTTCTGGCTTTTTCTGCTTATGTGGTACTGAGGAATTGAACCCAGGGCTTCCTGCATGCAAGGTAAGCACTCTACCACTAAGCCACACTCCTAGCCCCCAAGCCTTTTCTTGAATGTTATCATTAGTACAGTGGGCTGAGCTGGTAATACCAAGAGGGGCTGGTGGAGGTGGCAGCAGAACAGAGCAGAGCAGCTATGGCAGAAGAAGCCTTAGCAGCAGAATACGATCTCCTTTTAACTAACTGACTGATATTGCTTTGATTTGTCAGCAGGTGGAGCTATTGCTTGTATAAAAGGCGTATAGCCTTTTCACTTTGCACATTGGCATTATACAATGATACTGGCTTATCATTATAAACCTTCCTTCTGTTTATTCACTCCTCCATCCAGTTAATATAATTGTAATAATTCATCATCTGCAGCAACTGGTCTTACTGCAATATGTAACTTTTCATTGTCAGTGTAACATTTTATATATATATATATATATATATATATATATATATATATATTTGTAATATATAATTTAAGACAGTCTGTGAGTCACTAATTTCATATAAGAAAGAATAATGAGGAGATATTCTTTTAAATCAGATCATATGCCTTAAGGAACTATAAGGGACTTTCATCTATTTTCTCTGTGATTTATATTTATTTTATACAATACAATTTTATAAACTGAATTTGCCAAACAAAGCCAGAGATGATGTTTTTGAGGATCTTTTCAGTTCAGGAGTACAGTAGTAAAGAGGAATTTTTTTTGTTATTATAAAGATGATATACAGAGGGGTCACAGTTATATAATTCAGGTAGAGAGTGCATTTATTTCTTCATCTTTGTCTTTGTCTTCGTCGTCGTTTGTGGAGCTTGAACATAGGGCCTGGGCACCGTCCCTGAGCTTTTCTGCTTAAGGTTCATGTTCTAGCCACAGCTCCACTTCCAGTTTTCTGGTGGGTAATTGGAGATAAGAGTCTCATGAATATTCCTGCCCATGCTGGTTTCAAACTGCAATCCTCAGATGTCAGCCTCCTGAATAGCTAGGATTGCAAGCATGAGCCACTGGTGCCCAGCTGTCCGACATTTTTATCTTCATGTGCTATTATTATTATTATAATACTTAAATTCTGCCTATGAAAGCACACATAATATTTCTTCTTGAGCCTGGCTTATTTACTTAACATGATACTCTGACCTATCCATTTTCATGCAGATGGTGTAATTTCATTCTACTGTATGGCAGAATATAATAGACCATATTGTATATATACCACACTGTCTTTTTCCCATTATCTGTTGATGGATCCCTGAGCTGGTTCTGCAGCTTGCATAGTGCTATAGTAAACATGGGTGGGCAAGTACCTCTACTGTATTCTGACATACATTCCTTTGGCTATGCCCAAGAGTGGAAGAGGGGGAGTTTATGGTTAGTTCTGTTCTTAGGTTTCTGAGGAACCTCCATACTAATTTCTGTAGTAGCTGCCCTAATTTACATTACCATCAATAGCGTCCTGTTTAGCACTTGTTATTTATTTTTCTTGATGACTGCCATTCTGACTTGGGTAAGATGGACTTAGCAGTGATGTTTTAATTCACTACATTCTGAGAAAAAGAAAAAGAAGAAATAGTTTCATGTATATCATACTCTTGTGATTTAGAATGTATATCAGATGTTTTACATTGTATGTTTGTTTTCAGCTGTAGAGAAATTTTGAAATATTTCATAAGTTTTTGGATGTATGACAGAGGATCTCAAAAGGAACAAGTCTTATTTTTTCCTTCAGACTCTTTTCAGCATTGTTATTTAAAAGTTGTCATGAATATTAAAATGGTGTGTGAGTTTTTTATTTTATATGTGGTTTTATTATACTTATTCTACTGTGAACTTTAAAAATTCTACCTCAAGCTTCTGTTTCTATACTATGGTTACATTTTTCCTAATAAAATTATTTTTAATAATTCCAGATAATGATATACATTCTTTCCAAAAGAATCTTAACATCTTCACATGTACCCAGCTTATTAATTCTTTTTTTCTGACAAGTCAGTTTTTCTCTTGTTCTTCCCACTCCTCCCTTGTCCAGTGGTCCTATGCTTTAGAGAAACCCAACACCGGTAGCATATTTAACATCGCATGGTCCATCGATGGCACTCAGATCGCTGGAGCCTGTGGAAATGGCCATGTTGTTTTTGCACATGTGGTTGAGCAACGTTGGGAGTGGAAAAATTTTCAAGTGACATTAACTAAAAGGAGGACCATGCAGGTAAGATTATGTCATGGCTGTTTAAATCTGCTTCTCTTCACCATACCCAGAGTTATTCTAGTTAACTATATTTACACTGTAAAAGCTCATTCCCACTGGAGATGGGAGCTCCGTGATCTGTACAATGGGCTACTTTTTCATCACATAAGAGCCTATCACTGAAAGAGATGCTATGTGTAGTAATTACCAAGGTTATATGTTTAGGAGTGGTGAAGGAAATTTGAAGGAGTTAGGGACTATGTGGATTAAGTTAGAGAAGAGAAAATTTGAAGAAGCTAGGACAAATATGCACAAGTCAAACTTAGCACATACAGCTGACTCCAATGCAAGCTGAGCCTGCTAGTTACTGATAAGGTTGAATTATCATTAACTTTTACTATTCATAAAATAAATTTATTTAACTCAATTTAAAAAATTGCCCTTTAGGGGCTGGGAAGGTGGCTCAGTGGTAGAGCGCTTGCCTTGCATGCCTGAGGCCCTGGGTTCGATTCCTCAGCACCACATAAGCAAAAAGAAAAAAGCCAGAAGTGGCGCTGTGGCTCAAGTGGTAGAGCGCTAGCCTTGAGCTAAAAAGAGCTGAGGGACAGCACCCAGGCCCAGAGTTCAGGCCCCACGACCGGACCTAAAACAAAACAAAACAAAAAAAATTGCCCTTTAAGGCTGAGTGCTGGTAGCTCATGCGCATAATCCTAACTACTCAGGAGGCTGAGATACCAGGATCATAGTTCAAAGCCAGCCCTGGTAGGAAAGTCCATGAAACTCTTTATCTCTAGTTAACCACCAGAAAACTGGAAGTGGAACTGTGTTTCAAAGTGGTAAAGCTCAGGGACAACATCCAAGCCCCACCAGCCCCGCCCCTCCCCCCCCAAATTAAATTATTTAAGTCAAAATAAGAAAATGGCAGAAAGTTGCTCCTGGGACTTAGGAAGTCTGAGGGAGGACTTTTGTTACCATCTTTGGATTCATGTCTGACGCCCTTATGACAGTAAGACAGAAGCATTCAGATTTGTTTCCTGTCAGTTTTACATGGGAAGGGAGCCTTCTTAGGAAATGAAGATCTGGAGAAATGGTTACACACCTGCAGAATGGACAGCTGTGGAGAAATTAGCACGCCCCTTGGTTCTCATTCTTGTCTCTGTCTTCTGTTTGCAAGATAAGGATGCCCCTCTTCCCTGTAGTGTTTCGGGAAGGTCAGAAAACCCTTCCTACCTTTTATAACCTGCTTCTGGGGATGACAGCAGAGAGAAGGCTAGAAGGCCTTTCTGCTTTCTTTCCTTTTCTCAGATTCCTTCAGGTTCACATATTCAGTGTCAAGTGCTACCATATTTGGGGTCAATATGAAGTGAAATATGTTAAAGTGAAGTATTTTTAGATTAATACACCATTCTTGGATGTGGCAAGGAGAGATGAAGATGACAGGCCAGAGAGCCTTGGTGGCTTGTCTACTCAGTTATAAGCCTCATTGTGGCATTTACACACCACACACACACACACACACACACACACACACACACGATAATTTAGTAAAATTTACTTTCTCTAGTACTCTGTCATAACACCCTCAATGCTTCCCTCTTTAGTTTCTTGTGTGCCTGTACTGGAGCTTGAAATTGAGGCCTGGTCTCTGTCTCTTAGCTTTGTCACTCAAAGCTGGTACTCTACCACTTTAGCCACACCTCCACTTCCAGTTTTATAGTGGTTAACTGGAGATAAAATATCCAAATTTTTTAATTTGGATAATATATTTACCAGAGTCCTAATATAGTTTTTCTTTACTCATTTAAAAGTTTATATGGAGAATTGAATATGTACAAAATCAAATTGTCAAGCGCTTATTAATAACCCCCAGTTATTAACCCAAGATCAAGCTTTCCCTGTCTACCCTGTCTACTCTTCCCCTAATTTTTTCTTTTTGTCGGTCATGGGGCTTGAACTCTGCACCTGGGTGCTGTCCGTCCCTCACCTCTTAAGCTCAAGGCTAGTTGCTTGAGCCACAGCGCTACTTCCAGTTTTCTGGTTTTTCTGTTTTTGTGGTGCTGAGGAATCAAGCCCAGGGCCTCATTCATGTGAGGTAAGCACTCCACCACTGAGCTACCTTTCCAGCCCTCCCCTCATTATTTTTAAGCAAATTCAGACATCACCTTTCATGTGTAAAACTTTGAGTACAGTAGCTAAAAGATAGACTCATTTTAACACACTGTAGCACCATTAGCAAACATTGAAAATAATAGTTCCTTAGTAACAAATGTCAAATTTTCAATTGTCTCTTATACATCACAAAATTCAAAATAAGGGCTGGGAAGGTGGCTCAGTGGTAGAGTACTTGCCTTACATGCATGAGGCCCTGGGTTCGATTCCTCAGCACCACATAAGCAGAAAGAAAAAAGCCAGAAGTGGCACTGTGGCCCAAGTGGTAGAGCGCTAGCCTTGAGCTGAAGAGCTGAGGGACAGCGCCCAGGCCCAGAGGTCAGGCCCCACGACCGGACCCCCCCCCAAAAAAAAACAACAAAAACAAAACAAAAAAAAAAACCCAAAAAACAAAATTCAAAATAAGTTTTTAGGAACCAGGATTCAAGTGATTACAGTGTGTTGCATGCTACTTCTGTCTCTTAGTCAGTGAGTTCCTTTTTCACCTCTGTTTCTGACCCCTGGTACTTTATTTGGCGAAGAAAGCAAAGGATTTGTTCAATTGTTTTTCATAGTGTAGACTTAGCTGGTTGTATCCTTATGAGGTGTGGGTTTTTTTTTGTTTGTTTGTTTTGCTTTGCTTCTTGTTGTAGGGATGGAATCCAGGGCAAGTCCCCAGGCTACCTGGGGTGTGGTTGGCCTGCCTGTTCTTCCACATTTCCTGGAAATTAATCGTTGAGTATAGATGTGTGTGTGTGTGTGTGTGTGTGTGTGTGTGTGTGTGTGTGTGTGTGTGTGTGTGTGTGTGTGTGTGTGTGTGTGTGTGTGTGTGTACTTCTGTTATTTAACTTTGGCACCGTGTCTGTAATAAGGAATGCATTCTACATTCTGATCAACTGTGGTTGGCCTGCCTGTTCTTCCACATTTCCTGGAAATTAATCGTTGAGTATAGATGTGTGTGTGTGTGTGTGTGTGTGTGTGTGTGTGTGTGTACTTCTGTTATTTAACTTTGGCACCGTGTCTGTAATAAGGAATGCATTCTACATTCTGATCAACTGATTGGGACATTCTTTTATATATATGATGTTTAGAAGCTTGCCAGTAAGATGTTACTAAAAATAAGTTCAAGTCCTATTTTTTAAAAATGTCCTGTGTTGTAGAAAATATTTGTCTCTCTAAATAAACAGGAGTCATCCAAGTGGTTAGAGGGCTTTTATGGTAGAAAAGATGCACTATGATGGGTTTTAAGTGGCTTATCTAGTCCAAATGATCGGTGTACTTAATATTTGTAAATATTTTTAAAGGTTGAGAATTTGAGAACCTTAAAGGAGGTTTTGCATTCAGTGATTATAAAACATTGACTGCAGCTTTTGCTAAATTGGGCTAAGGTATTTCCCTCTTGCATTTGGTGGTATTTATTGCATGGTCACTGCTTGCCAGACCTCAGGCTATGCAGTGGGGAATGCAGAGGTGAATGAACCAAGCTTTATTCTCTGTTTCCATGGACCTTTTCCTTTTCTATATACATTCAACAAAAATTAAGGTGTGAAATGAAGGGGGAAAAAAACACATATTGGTTTATATGAAGTTGAGAGAGTGACTGACTTCCATTGTTGTTGTTTCAAAGGTTCAAGTAACATGGTGGAAGTTCCTCTCTTCCTTTCCTCTTCTGTTCTTCCGTTTTTCTGTGGTTGCCTCCATTTTCAGAAAGTCTTCTCCCTTCTGTGCTTCAAGCTTCCCTTCTACCCTTCTACCTCAAATCTACTAGTGAGCCATTGTTCCCAGCGATTCCAGCAGACATCCCGACGCTGAGTCTCCAGGAGTGATTCTGAGCTAAATCTATTTAGCTGAGGGAGACGAGAACATGAGTCAGCCTCACCTGAACCACTTAGTCACTGAAAGGGAGGAAAGAATTGTTCCCAAAGGAAAACCCAGGCCTACATACCAGGAGAGGAGAGAATCTGGCTGGGCAGACAGAAGAGATCTCCAGGACTGTCTGTCCTTTGGCTTTTGAACAGCTGCATGTATTCATTATTTATCACTGCATAATCATCCCATAACTTAGAGGCTTGAAGCTCCAGCATTTATTATCTCTGGGTTCCTGTGAGCCAGGAATCCAGGCATGGCTTAGCCAGCTTCTCTGACGCAGTCTCTCAAGGCTGTCCTCAAAGTGTCTCCTATTAAGCCCACCCCAGGTGATTTGCTTTCAAGCTCATGGGCAGGATTCAGTCCACTAGTGACTTTAGGACCGAGGGCTTCGGTGTGGTGGGCTGTGGATAGGAGAGTTCCTGCAGCTGTGGGTGTGTGGCCTTTCCATGGGGTAGTAGACAACTGATAGCTTGGTTTATCAGAGCAAGTGAGAAGAGCCAGAGAAAGCAACAAGGTCCAAGACTACGTTGTTTGTTTTTCTTTGTGATGGTCCTGGGGCTTGAACTCAGGGCCTGGACACTTAGCTCTTTCACTCAAGGATGTTGCTATGTTCTACCACTTGAGCCAAGGCTCAGTTTTGGCTTTTTGATTGTTAACTGGAGAGTTTCGGGAACTTTTCTGCCTAGGCTGGCTTTGAACTTCAGTCCTCAGATCTCAGCCTCCTGAGTAGTTAGGATTTATAGGTATGAGCCACTGGTTCCTGGTGTTGGCAATATTTTTTTAACACTCTTCCAGTAAAGACAAGTAATGATTTCATGGGCTCCAAGTTTCTTTCGTTCTCTACTCCTTCCTCTCACCCTCTCTATTCTTATGTTTCTTAAAGTTGTCTATGGCAATTTTTTGTGGGGGGTAGGGGGGGCAGTCCTGGGGCTTGAACTCAGAGCCTAGGGACTGTCCCTGGGGTTCTTTTGCTCAAGGCTATCGCACTACCACTTGAGCCACAGCATCACCTCCAGCCTTTTCTCTGTGTATGGTACTGAGGAATCAAACCCAGGGCTTCATGCATACTAGGTAAGCACTCTACCACTAAACCACATTCCCAGCCTCTTTATGGTACTTTTTAATACTATAAGTTTTTCAATTTATAGCCCTCCACTTAAAATTTAATGTCATTTATTAAAATGCTTAAGCATACTGTTTTGTATCTTACATTTTTACTTTATAGCCCAGAGATGACTCTATAAATCTTCCATGTTCTGCTGCAGCTATATAGTATGAATATGAATGTACCATAGTGTATTCAAGTTCCTGGTAGACAATTGGGCTGTTGTCAGTCTTTTGATAATGCTGGTAGTATGGTAGTAAGCAGGCTGTATATCTTATTTTGTAGTTTTGCTTGCCTGTCTTTGGGATAGGATTCTAGAGATGAGATCACTTGATCTTGAATATGCATACATGTGATTTTGTTATTGCTTGTCGTGGTGATAGGAGTTGGAGCACACATAGGAATAATAAATACTTGCTCTACCAAAGTACCTTACGTTGAACAGTTGTAAACTATAGACTGTTTTTCTGCCATAGATCTGGAGGCTACTCCTGGCCTCCAAGATCAAGGTACTAGCAAATTTGGTGTCTGAAGAAGACTTACTTTTCTAGCTCATAAAGATGGTGCTGTCTTGTGTCTGCACTAGAAAGTGATAACGCAGGTCTCTGCACCTCTATTTATAAGGGGAAGAACAAATCATTTCCCACAAGACCCCACAGCACATGAATTTGGGGTCAGGGACACAAACAGTCAGGCCACAGCCATCCTGCTAGATATGCAAGTATTCTCAAGAAGCACTTTTACGCTTTATTGTTCTATGTTTCTTTCCATGTTCTTTCCTTGTTCATTATACTTTGTTATTTCTTTTATAGCAAAATGATAACATTTTGAGGAGAATTTAAAGAAATAATTAACTTGCAGGTATAATTGCATTATAGATACAATTACATTGTTTTCTCTGTTTTTCACTTCTCACTGTGATAGAAGTGAAATGCCTCACACATTCTGAAATTGCTGGTATTAATCTGATTAAGATCTAGAAAATTTAATTTGCCCAACATTTTCCTTATCTGTTGAAGTTTTTCAGTAACTTCAAAATATTTAACCAGTACTGCTGAATGGTAAAATTTTTGTTAGAAACTTGATAAGAATTTTGACTATCATGGATAATATCTGTTTCTTATATATTATCTCTGTGCTTTTACCTGTAGAAATGCTTTCCCTATCATATATAGCTGAGGTTCTTAGTTATGCAGGACTCTTTGTTGTTGTTACTGTTGTTTGTACTAATATTGATGCTTGAACTCAGGGCCTGGGCACTCTCTCTTAGCTTTTTCACTCAAGGCTGGTGCTTTGCCACTTAAGTTACAGCTCCACATCCAGCTTTTTGGTGGTTAATTGGAGATAGGAGTCTCATAAACTTCTCTGCCCAGGATGGCTATGAACTATAATCTTCAGATCAGTGGTGGCATGAGTTACCAGCCTGACTCCTGTTTTGTTTTCTTGTTTTTTAATTCAAATATTTCCTACTTAACTTTTGATTTTTAATACCTTTAAAAAAAGAATTGAAGTTTTAAAGTAAAATCTAACTGAAAAGGGCTATTTTTACTCTTTTGGACAGTGTCTTTGCAACTTCCCATGCCACCCTCCATCTATCAGTCAGCTTTATCACTAAATATTCCAATGTATTGTCAGTTCATTGCTACATCATTCTGCCTGGCTTGCAGGTTATGAAATCCCTGTAGGGTTTTTTGGTGTTTTTTTTTAGTAGGTCCTGGAGCTTGAATTTAGGACCTGGCTGCTGTCCCTATGCTTCAAACCTAGCATTCTACCACTTAAGCCACAGTGGCAGTTCTGGCTTTTTCTTTGTAGTTTATTTGAGATAAGAGTCTCACAGTCTTTTCTGCCCAGGCTCTCTTCAAACCACAATCCTCAGATGTCAGCCTCCTTAATAGCTAGGATTACAGGCGTGAGCCATCAGTGCCCAACTCTAAGAATGTTTTTTATTTGTATTTATACTTTTTTGGTTTTTGAACCTAGTATAGCATCTTACACCTAGCTAAATTATTTATATAATTAAGTAATCAAGTGTACATTGAGTTTCTATGCAAATTAAAATATTGCTCATGTGTCTAATTAGTCTTGTTAACTTACCTAATTAACATGTAATTAAAATGTTAATGTTGTTTGTTGGCATTCCATTTTTCCTTGTTTAGGTTCGTAATGTTCTTAATGATGCTGTGGATTTGCTGGAGTTCCGTGACAGAGTCATTAAAGCCTCTCTGAACTATGCACACTTAGTTGTTTCAACGTCCCTTCAATGTTATGTGTTCTCGTAAGCATCTTAGATCATTTCCTAAAAATGTACAATTTTGCCTGTGACTAGGAACTCATCACAGATTGACCTTTCAAGTTTGACATTACAGCTAGTTATGTACAATGAAAGTAGATCTAATAAAGTTTATATCCCAAAGGTATATAATAGGAATTACCTTACCTGATACAGTGTTTACTCTCAGTTGCAAGGAATTTCGTACAGTTTTATTTTGAGACTCAAAGATTAGGAGCAGCTTATGAGGACTGAGTAATGGAACCATTAGGAGAATTTAGTGCTTGGGAGAATCTAGTGCTTAAAACATCAGTTCTGCTGGGTACCAGTGGCTCATGCCCACAATTGTAGCTACTTAGGAGGCTGCGATCTGAGGATTGCGGTTAGAAGCCAGAAAAATGTGAGAGACTGATCTCCAATTAGCTTCCAAAAAGCTGGAAGTGAGGATGTGGCTTAAGTGGTGGAGTGTCAGCCTTGAGCAAAAAAGCTAAGTGAGGGGCCAGGCCCTGAGGTTAAGCCCAGGACTGGAACACACAACAGAGCAGTAGTCCTCAGCACCTCAGCCTCATGAGCCACTGTGATTATTAAAGGTGTGTGTCACTGCCACCAGTTAACTTATTTTACTTCCTTTTTTTGCTGGTTGTGGGGCCTGAACTCTGGGCCTGAGTGCTGTCCCTTTGCTCTTCAGCTCAAGGCTAGCACTCTACCACTTGAGCCACAGCTCCACTTCCAGCTTTTTCTGCTTATGTGGTGCTGAGGAATCGAACCCAGGGCATGGGAGGCAAGCACTCTACCACTGAGCCACCTCCCAGCCCATTATTATTTACTTCTTTACTAGGAATGACTGGGATTTGAATCTAAGTTCATACTGTTGAATACATTTTAGTAATAACATATAATTATTAAAATAAACCTATATGTAATATGCTGATTTCTATTAGAAGAAATTCCAGAAGAAGAAAAGCAGTGCATGAGAAAACTATATTAAAATGTTCATTTTTTTTTCAAGTAATTGCATTGAAAATACTCTTTCTTGTTTTATTCAGCTTATATCTTAGGAAGTTTATATTTCCACAGCAATATATTTCAGTTGTCAGGAGTCTGGACATTTTCTAAAAGTTCATCCAAAAAGCCTCATATAATCACTACCTTTCTAATCAGCTCTCTTGCCAATGAATGCAGGTTAATTGTAATGACTAATTTAGCATGCTGCGATTTTTTTTTTTTCCTGAAGTGCAAAAGCATATTATCTTTATCATACCTGTGAACTTCAGTCTAATTACTGTACTATTACTAGAGCTAATTGCTATTGGAATTACCTTATTAGGAGAAATTTATTTGTTGTTTTATCCTTTGATGTATCATGTACTGAAATGGTCTACATTAACCAAGATTAATTGCTCACCAGTGTGACGGCTCACTGAAGCCTTCTTCCCATTTTCTGGATTCAAAATGGGTTCGTTCCAATCTGATTCAAAGAATTGACTTTTATATAGCTAGGTGCTAGTGGCTCAATGCCTAGCTACTCAGGAGCTGAAATCTGAGGGTTGCAGTTCAAAGTCAGGAGAGTCTGTGAGACTCTTAACTCTAATTAACCACTAAAAAGCCAGAAGTGGAGCTGTGATATAGCCTTGAGTGAATAAGCTAAGGGACAGTGCCCAGGCTCTCAGTTCAAGCCCTAGTACTGGCAGGCGCGTGCACATGTGTGTGCACACATATACACACACAATTTTTCAAATGAAAAGTATTGAGAAAAATTCAAAGCATACATGAGTCATAAACTATTTGGAACTGTGAGACAACTTCGAGGCTTTATGGATGGATGGATTTCTTCACTTGTAGATGTTCTCTTCACCCACTCCAGTATTGAAATCATTTTATACTAGAAAAGGAAAAGGAATCATTTCCTCATTTCTTCATCAATGGATCTATTTGTAAGCTTAGTCACAGCTTATATTTATGGTGTTTTACAGCTGACGCAAGCCCCTCACATCTCCCCCCAAGAAGTCTTGTCAGACAGTAGCCTTGGAACTGGAGAAAATCATCATGCTCTTGTTGTTTGTTCTGTACCTGCTGTGTATCAGGCAGGTATTCAGATGCTTGATAGCACTCTACAGATGAAATAAAACCTCTGGTGTTCCAGAGAGTATGCTTGTGAAAACTGGGCAGCCAGGAAACTTTTTTGTTTGTTTGTTTGTTTTTGTTTTTGGTCGGTCGTGGGGCCTGAACTCTGGGCCTGGGCGCTGTCCCTCAGCTCTTCAGCTCAAGGCTAGTGCTCTATCACTTGAGCCACAGCGCCACTTCTGGCTTTTTTTCTTTTTGCTTATGTGGTGCTGGGGAATCGAACCCAGGGCCTCATGCGTGCAAGGCAAGCGCTCTACCACTGAGCCACCTTCCCAGCCCCTGGTGAAACTTTTTAGTCTAGACCTGGGTAACAGAATCCTATATCATGCTGCTGCTGTTTTCGGTTTTCAGATAGTAAACATTAGGTAACTTCTCAGACTCACTGAACTGATAAACAGCAGAAAGGAGACTTGTTCTTAGTATTTCTAAGTTCAGATATTATAATACCTACAATACACATTTCCTGAATGTTTGCTATGGCTACTTGCATACTACAATGTAGTCTTTGTTCTGTACTTGGGGTATAGACATGAGTGAATAATCTTAGAGCAAAGTAGCAGGTGCTGAATAAAAGTGTGCATGCAATAATCATGAAAATAAAGTTACTTTATTAAAAATAAATGCCTCTCTACTTATTAAAAAAGTATTTAATATTTTAAATGTTAATGTCCATTTGTTTTTTAGTACAAAGAACTGGAATACACCACTCATATTTGATCTCAAAGAAGGAACCGTCAGTTTAATTCTGCAGGCAGAGAGGTAATTTACTTATTACACTTTTTCATCATTGGGCTTAGGTTAAGATACAGAAGTAAAACATTCGTTAAAACAGCTATCTTAGTCAGGTGCCAGTGGCTCACACCTATTCAGGAGGCTGAGATCTAAGGATCCCAGTTCAAAGCCAGCCCAAGCAGAAAAGTCCATGAGACTCATCTCAGCTAACCACCAGAAAACCGGAAGTGCCAATGTGGCTCAGAGTGGTAGAGTGCTAGCCTTGAGCAGAAAAAGAAAAAAACTCAGGGACAGTGTCCAGGTCCTGAGTTCAAGCCCTCAGCCAACAAAATAAACAATACCTACTTCATTTATAGAATTAAACAATAACTGTTTGAACTCAGTGTGCTTCTATTATATGTTTAAGAATTGAAAACACGGCTGGGAAGGTGGCTCAGTGGTAGAGTGCTTGCTTTGCATGCATGAGGCCCTGGGTTCTATTTCTCAGCACCACAAAAACAGAAAAAGCTGGGAGTGATGCTCAAGTGGTAGCCTTGAGCAGAAGAGCTGAGGGACAGTGCCCAGGCCCAGAGTTCAGGCCCCACAACCAACCAAAAAAACAAAACAAAAGAATAGAAAACACAATAGATAAGTTTATCAATGAATCTGCCATTATATATATATATATATATATATATATATATACACACACACACACATACACACACACACATCCATATATACACGTGGATATACATATTTACCTATCTGGATATGTACACAAATTCATACACACACACACATATGTATATTATCCATACTTTGTAGGTTTTTTTCTTTTTTGTGATACTGTGGTTGAACTCACAAATCCATACTTGGTTTGCTGTAGTTCTCTAGGTGGAGGAGGGTCACAAAAGGTCTTTTGTTTGCTCTGTGCTGTTTGAATTTTTAAATAATATTTTTATATTTTCAAAGGAAAAGTATACCTGTCATATAATGTTTGTGTGACTATCTCCATAATAAAAAACAGAAAACAAACCAAAACAGAGGTTGAATTTCAGTTTTTAAATATTCTATTCTTTATGTATTTATGTACTTATTTTAATTGTAAGACTTAGATATTTTCAAGAGATAAGCTATTTTATAATATAAAAATAAAATTATAGTGTCTTCCTGTTATTTATCCTTTATCTTTTAGGCATTTTCTTCTTGTTGATGGTGGTGGTATCTATTTATATTCTTATGAAGGACGCTTCATTTCCTCTCCCAAGTTTCCTGGGATGAGAACCGACATTCTGAATGCCCAGACTGTTTCTCTGAGTAATGATACCATAGCAATAAAAGACAAAGCTGATGAGAAAAGTAAGTTATATTCAGAATTTCTCATGCTAGATTTCTGTTACATTTGTTAATGCTACATTAACTTTCATTTTCTCATATGCTAATATTTTAACTTTGTATAGAAGAGTAACTTTCTGATTTGTTCTAAACATGAATTAAATAAGAGTTATTGTATCCAACACAACAATACTATCAGCACTCAAGATCAGTTGTAACAATTAAATGATGCTATATTCAGTAGCTGGAGAAAATGTTTTAAATCAATTGTGATCCTAAAAAATATTGATTTGTAAATACTTAAAAATAGTCACATTTTCTTCATTTAATAAGAGTATCTTCATTATTTCGGCTATTTTATGTATTTTTAAAATTACTGTTTTAAGTGGATGAAGCTGAAGAAAAATATGAATAACTTAAATTTTGTTTAAACAGCTCAGTCACATCAGTAGTTACAAATAAGTATAAGTAAGCTAAATGTTTTGGAATTCCCTAATACAGTAAAGTCATTTTATCAGGGTGTTGGTAAGTCCCTGATTCAGTTGTCCAGAAGGTGTTACTGAGTGCTTACTATGTGTCAGATACTTTCCTGGAAGTTGATGAACAAGGCAGACATTCTACTAAGCAAAAGTAAGGAATTGAGCCAATATGTAGGTAGTGTACCAGTTTCTGTATATGTGAAGGCTAAAATACAGGTCCAGCCTTTGTTAGATCAGATCTTCATACATTTCTGGGCAAAAGTAGATGAATTCATTCACATAGGCCCACCTCTTTATAATTCATACAGTCAGCATAAAAAAGATAAGGTATGGATTTTTTTGTTGTTGTTGTCAGTCCTGGGCCTGGACTTTGTCCCTGAGCTTTTGCTCAAGGCTAGCACTCTACCACTTGAGCCACAGTGCCACTTCTGTTTTTTTCTGCTTATGTGGTACTAAGGAATTGAACCCAGGGACCCATGCATGCAAGGCAAGCACTCTACCACTGAGCCACCTTCCCAGCCCCTGGATTTTTATTTTTTAAAGCTATTAATTTCAAAACTGTATAATGATGAAAATGGTCAACTGTAGACAGCCTAGAATATTTTAAAAATGGAAACCAAACTTTTCTAAATTTTGTTTCTGTACATTAAAAAAAAGCTGCTGTAGTGTTTTTTATTTTTCTCTGCATATTTGGTAATCTTAGAACATAAGTAACTGTTATAGCATGATCTGTCCTGTGAATATAGTCAGTGACTTTAGACGTAACAGCTAATAAATTTCAGTTAAATTTCTTATTACCAGTATGTTTGCGTCTTTGTGCTATGTGTTGTGTGGTCCATGTTTTTACTGTTCCTAGTACCCTTTTTGTCCTCATTGTTTTGTAATTCTGTGTCACTTGGTATGACTCTTGAGCTTGACAAATTTGGAAAGTACTTAATCACCAAAATACTCTAATGGTTTTCATTTTTTCCCAGTAATCTTTATTTTTTCCCCAGTTTTTTATTTTTTATTGTTATTTTACTATACAGAGGGGTTACAGTTACATAAGTCAGGTAATGAGTACATTTCTTTTTGAACAATGTCACCCTTTTCCTCACTCCCAGTTTTTTTCTTTTGGCCTCACCCACAAGTTGTATATTTCATTTTCAACATAGTGTCTAGTGAGTACCACTGTTGCATTTGTTCATCCTTTGTCCTTCCATTTCTGTGCCCCCCTTACTTCCCAAAGACAGATAAATGAACAAACAAGGTGAAAAGAAAAACAATGAAAAAAATCCGTTTGTTTTCCATTTCCTGGAGTTCATTTCAATAAATATTATTATATGTGATCAGAGGCACATAGGCATTGTGCCTTTGTGTTCCTCCCCTAGAGTGTCCTCATTTGGTCTCACTGTGTGTGAATGCCTAGAGCCCTATATAATTTATCCTGTTTTGATGTAAATTAGAAACTAGCTTCCACACATGAAAGAAAAAATGTGCCGTTTGTCTCTCTGAGTTTGGCTTACCTCACTTAACATGATTTGTTCTAGGCCCATCCAGTTCCCTGCCTCTTCTTTGAAGAAGAGAAAATAATAGGTACCAGTGCCCCTGTCATGTCAGAGCCAAGGAGTTACCTTGACAACATGGAAAAAGGGCTGAGGGACAGCACTGGACCAGGTTCCTCCAGTACTGTCACTCTGTCATTTTCACTTCACTTCAGAAGATAAGGAATGGACATGGAGAACTTGGAGCTGATCATCTGATATTCTGGAACATCAAGTAGAATGTTCTATACTAAGATCATCAGTGTGAAACAACATAGTAATGATCTGTGGAGAAAAATGGTTATTGGTAATCATTTTCTCACAATCTAAGCATACTTCAACTCAGTTTTGACATAGCCTACTCAGAATTAGTATTAACCCCAAAGGTTAAGGCCTACTGCCCTTACTTCCAGCCAGCCACCTCTTTTTATTTTTTGGTTGTGGGGCTTGAACTCTTGGCCTGGGCACTGTCCCTGAGCTCTTCAGCTCATGGCAAGCACTCTACCACTTGAGCCATTAGCGCCACTTCCTGTTTTCTGGTGGTTAATTGGAGATAAGAGTCTCACAGACTTTGTTGCTGGGGCTGGCTTTGAACGACGATCCTCAGATCTCAGCCTCCTGAGTAGCTAGGATGACAGGTGTGAGCTACCGGCACCACCTCTTTTTTGAGTGACTGTAAATTCAGGGTTCCTGTGCCCCACTTAACTTTGTAATTTGGTAAAATGACTGACAGAGCCCAAGAGACTATTCTTGTCATTTCCGCTCTGTTATACAACGTGTCCGCATGCCATGAGGCCTAGGAAGGAACACAGATAGCTTCCATGGCATCTTCACTCTCCAGTGCCTCAGTGTGCACCAAACAGGAAGCTTCTCAGAGCTTTGGCATCCAAAGACTTTCATGGTATCATATTACCTCCAATGATTGATTAAATCTCTGGCCACACAAGTGAACTTAATCTCTGGCCCTCTTCCCATCTCCAGAGGTCAGAGAACTCCAAGCTCCAACCCTCACCACATGCTTAGTCTTATTGGTGGTGAGTACCTCTTCTGGAGCTTGGGAGGCACTCTACAAGAGTCCACCGTTTTCATTAGCACTGTGACTTCCAGCCAGGAAGACAGGACAGTAGATAGACATAAAACAGAACAGTATGCATGCCTGGCATCACGAGCTCCATGGTGTGGAGTGCAATTGTGATTTTATACTGGTCCGAATCGGTAGTGGCAGAATTAAAAGTCACATCTACATTTGGACTTGTCATGGTTGAATCAGTGGCTCATTGATGCCTTTTCATGAACAGTTTAAATTAGGAATGTGTCTTAGGAAGAAACATTTAGTTCCCAAGTTTTCCTAAGAAATAATTAGGAATATGTTTTAGGAAGGAACGTTTAGTTTCCCAGTTTTCCTAAGAAGTGTGACCCCCCCATTAATAAATAAGAATTTGGTTCTATTGGTTGTTTTTTTTTTTTTTTTTTTGCTGTGCTGTGGCACAGAGTTCAATAATTTCTAAGTATTTTGCTAGTTCTACTGAAATGTACCAGTAAAGAGTCTAATATAGCACATTAATGTTCTGCTTTTTTTTTTCCCCCTAAGTCATCTTTCTCTTTGAGGCGTCCACTGGCAAACCCCTGGGGGATGGGAAGAGTCTTTCTCATAAGGTAATGGAACGAACTATTTCTAATGCAGATAACAATGGTGATTACTGCTCTATGAAGATTAATAGTCATATTTTAATGAGGAAAATGGAATTTAGTCTTATATTTTGAACCAGAGTACCTTCTACACAGATTATTTTGCCTAAAAAATCACAGTTTAAAACAAAGAATAGGGAAAGTCTATAATAGAAAGCGTGTATGCAAATTAATTGAATAAAAGGAATTGACTTGTAGGTCTATTGTTCAGGCTCTGCTTTTCAATATTATGATTATGGTTTGTTTATTTTTTGTCAGTCATGGGGGTTTGAACTCTGGGCCTAAGCCCTGTCCCTCAGCTCTTCAGCTCAAGGATAGTACTCTACCACTTGAGCCACAGTGCCACTTCTGGTTTTCTGGTGGTTAATTGGAGATGAGTCTCATGGACTTTCCTGCCTGGGCTGACTTTGAACCGTGATCCTCAGATCTCAGCCTCCTGAGTAGGTAGGATTACAGGCGTGAGCCACTGGTGTCCAGCATCCCTTTTGTACTTTAAAAATTGAATATTGAGTATACTCATGTAGTTTTGATTCAGATAGAAATCAAAACCATTATAAAGTATACAAGGGAGTCAACCATGGTGGCTCACCCTTGTAGTCCCAGCAACTCAGGTGGTAGAGACTGGGAGGATTGTGGTTGGAGGTTAGGCTGGGTGTGGTGTCTTCCTACCTGTTATCTCCCTTCTCATGATGCTTAGGTTGGAGGATTTTGGCTCAAAGCTGGCTGAGGCAAAAAGTGTGAAACTCTGTCTGAAAAAGCTGAAAGGGCCGGAGGTATGGCTCAAGTGTTAAGGTCCTTGAGTACTTCAAGTACTTCCAAAAAAAAAAAGTGTGAAAGACCCCCTACCAAATGGGCAGCCACTGCCGCTAACCTCTTATATATTTCCCCATACCCTCAGATTTTAGCCTCCTGATTAGCTAGGATTACAGACATGAGCCACCAGTGCCCAACATATGACTGTAATTCTTAATTGTAGAGATCATCTTCTTGGAAAGGTTTCTATTTTTAAAACATCTAACTTAGTATTCTATGAGTACCTTGATAGATTGAAACAAGACAAGTCTTTTCTATCTTAGAGTATAAACTATGGTAGGCCAAGCTCAGAGAGACAATTGGCACGTTTTCTCTCATGTGGAAGCTAGATCTAAAATACACTGGGACATGATATATTTTACAGGACTCTAGACATCCACACACAGTGAGACCAAAGGAGGATGCTCCTAGGAGAGGAACACAGAGGCTCAATGCCTATGTGCCTCTCATCATATAAAATAATAGTTATTGAAATGAACACTAGGAAATTTGAAACAAAGTTTTTTCCTTTGTTGCTGTTTCCATTTTCTTTTCTTTTTGTCTCAGTTTTCCATTTATATGTCTTTAGGAGGATAAAGGGAGGCATAGAGGACAAGACCTTATGTTCTAAATGAACCATACAACTTGTGCCTGGGGATGGGAGGGAAAAACTGGAAGAGTACAAGGGAAGGGTTGACATAGTCCACAAAGAAATGTACTCATTACCTGATTTATGTAACTGTAACTCCTCTTTATATCACCTTTATAATAACAAAAACTTTAAAAAAAGAATATAAACTATAGCATTCCAGAGAAGAGCTTAATTTTTTAAATGTATTTTGAACTGGAATGTGACTGATCCATCAATTTGGATAATGTGTGTTTTGTCTTAAAAGGGGTTGTTTATAGTACACTTAGAAACAGTACACTAATTATTATTATACATATAGTATAGTCATATGGTATAGTATGGTATGGTGTAGTCATATGGTATAGTCATGATTTTGTTCCTAGCAGTCTTTATATATAATATACAGTAAATTGGCCCCTCTAGGATTGAACTGAAATGACTATCTTGGAACATTTCCAACTTTTAAGAAAATCTATCTTAGTAGGTAGTATTAGATTAATGAAATATGCCAGAACTACTGTTTTTCTATGGAACAGCAGAGATCTTGGAGTCAGAAGTCTGAGTCAGAAATCTTAGACATGCTTGGGACCAGCCTGCTCTGAAGAAAAATCATTTAATAGCATTGGATTGCAATTGCAAGTAAATATTAAATAATAGCCATATCGGGTTTCCTGCTTCACAGGAAATGATATGAAAGACTCTGCAAATGTTAACCTGGGAGAAATATGAGTTATTCCTATGTGTGTTCAAAATTCATTCTGACAAATCTTTAAAATATAGGAATCATAAAATTTTAGTATGAGAAACTTGGTACTCAAAACAGACCATTCATGTGATACTCAGATGCTCCTTCACCATCAAGACAGGACAGAAGGGCAGTTTACATAGGGTCACACTGTAGATTATTTTCTTGTAGTGTGAGAATATCTTTCCCTTGATTTTCTGACAAAGTAATGACAATTAACTTTTGAATTATTAGTATATTGGCAGTCCAAAATCAACAGGAACATTTTATAATTCTAAGCAGATGAATGACATTTAATAGATTCTTTTGTGGTTGTTTATTTTAAATGTTTTGAGAGTATTGCTCTGTTACCCACACTGATCTAGAACTCATGATCCTCCTGCCTCAGCCTCCTGAATACTGGGATTGTAGGTTTGTGCTACCATGCCAGACTTAATTGATCTTTAAGGACAAGAATGCCATTTTAAAAAAATTACTTAAACGATCTTACCTCAGGCACTAGAATTGATCTGACATTTACTGTTATTGTTTTTTTTAATTTTAGAATGAAATCTTGGAAATTGCTCTGGATCAAAAAGGACTTACCAATGATAGAAAAGTTGCTTTCATTGATAAAAATAGGGATCTCTATATTACTTCAGTGAAACGATTTGGGAAGGAAGAACAAATTATCAAACTTGGTAAAATAATTCTAGTGCATTTAAAATTTTAATTATTGTTAATGTAAAAATCTATTTTATATACTAAATATTTAATGCTTGGATGACTCTGTGGTAATATTTTCTCACATTTCTTATCTATTTAACTCGATTTTAAAAGCAGGTTTTTGGCTTCTGCAGCTAAGTTGGCATCGAAAGGAAAATCTGTGAATTAAAAATGTAGTGTTCTAAGTAGAACCTTCAAGTAGTTTCATAAATGTTATGTGAATTTTTACATTTTTACCATTATGCTATCAGAAAGTAGAGATGTACCTACTTACCACAAATGAGATAGGATCTTGTTTTCTCAGTTAATTTTAAAGATACAATTTTTTTACTTGTATGTTGGCACTAACAAAATACTTCTATTCTTTTGAAATTAAGGAACAATGGTACACACATTGGCATGGTGCGACTCATGCAATATCCTGTGTGGCCTTCAGGATACTCGGTTCACAGTGTGGTACTATCCCAACACTGTGTATGTGGACAGAGACATTTTGCCTAAAACGTTATATGAGAAGGATGCAAGGTGAGATCTTCTGCATGGATTCTGCGTGGTGTAAAGAGAACTCCTTTCAGTCATGCTTTTGCATCTAAACAAATCATTTATGTAAAGCCAGCTTAGTGAGATTTTATTGATGAAGTCAAATTGAAAATGTAGTCTGAAGTGTTTATCTTTCATGTGACTATGAAGTATTTCTCATGTTGGTGGTGTTTAATGGAAGCTCAGGAAGTTTGCTCAGTATGATTGATTTTAAAGTAGGCAACTCTTACAATTTTTCAATAATATACAAGTTTGTGACAGCATCCCAGCATGCAGACAGTCATTGACTTTAAGACATTCTGAATGTATTTGTCTCTTAAATTGAATTTTTAGGTTGAGACTAAAGACAGAAAAAATTGAAAATTACTGAAAGCATTTAAAAAAGTACTTATGTGGACAAAGGGTGAATGAATGCAGCAGTGGTACTCACTAGACACTATGTTGAAAATAAACTATGCAACTTGTAGGTGGCTATGGGAGGGGAAAACTGGAAGAGAGCAAGGGGAGCAGGGGACTTTGTCCAAAAAGAAATGCACTCATTGCCTGACTTATGTAACTGTAACCCCTCTGTATTTATAATAACAGTAAAATAAAAATTTTAAAAATTTATGTGCTTCAGAAAGTGAAGTACATTTATATTCCTGAGTTTTCTAAGAGATCTCTTACCCTTCACAAAGGACTACAAAGGCTTCTTGACTCTAAATCTTAGTGTGGTTTCCAAGTATATTTAAAGTTTATTTTTAATACTCATGTTTACAACCTTGGCAAAACTAGAAAGGGCTTCAAAACAAAACTTATTTTTTAAAAGTATTTAAATCACTGAAAGGAACTTAGTCTTCTTAAAGTCTACTTTTTATTATGACAAAATTATCTTTGAATTAAGCATAATTTTTTATCAGTATGCCTTTTAATATGGTTAAGAACAAGCCAAGTGATTTCATCATTTACATGATTTATCTTAATCAGGAAAAAGATGCATTTGTCAGCCTTCTGTTACCATCACATATTCCTGAGACAGTCAAGTTGTAGAGAGGAGACTTAAGGTCTGAGCTTTCAGTCAGAGGTGAAGCTATATTTTTAAGGCTAGGAAGTGAGAGAGGAGGCCTGGGGTTGTGCCCTTCATTTCAGCAACCTTGAGGTCATCCCAGTAACACAAGTCTTTACCACGTAGGCCTTAGAGACCCTGAAGCTCCAAAATGCGGGTGGCTCATACCTGTAATCCTAGCTACTCAGTTGAGATCTGAAGGTCATAGTTCAAAGCCAGCATGGGCAGGAAAGTTTGTGAAACTCCAATTAACCATCAAAAAGCTGTGGCTCAAGTGGGTAGAATGCTAGCCTTGAGGAAAAAAGTTCAGAAACAGTACATAGGCTCTGAGTTCAATCCCTTATGACCCATACAAAAATATTTCTTTGCTCAGAGTATCTTGCCCCTCCTCCTTTCTCAACAGTGAATATAGTAAAAACCCTCATATTGTGAGTTTTGTGGGGAATCAGGTAACTATCAGAAGAGCGGATGGGTCTCTGGTCCACATCAGCATATCTCCGTATCCTGCTATTCTTCAGGAATATGTGAGCAGTTCCAAGTGGGAGGATGCTGTAAGACTTTGTCGCTTTGTTAAGGTACTCTCCATTTCTGATCCACATTCGTATATGTATTGTGCTTTAGCTTACCTTTTGGCAAGATATGTAATAATAGTTATGAATAGTTATGAGTGAGACCATGTTTGTTTGTTTTTGCCAGTCTTGGGGCTTGAACTCAGGGCCTGGGCCCTGTGCTGTCCCTGAGCTTTTGCTCAAGGCTAGCACTCTACCACTTGAGCCACAGTGCTACTTCTGGTCTTTGCTGTTCATGTGGTACTGAGGAATCGAACCCAGGACTTCATGCATGCTAGGCAAGCACTCTGCTACTAAGCCACATTCCCATCTTAGAGATCATGTGTTTTTATAAATGAATACATGGTTGGTATGAAGAGGTGTTGCCATGTGGTTGATTTTCAGAGAGGCTATAATTAGGCACTGGTACATGTATCAGTCTTCTGTGGAACATTTTCTGAGAGTCAGATTCCTAAGTTGTATTCCCACAGAGAGTCTGACTCACTGCACATCTTTTTGATTGAGGCATGCACATCTTTTTAAGTTCCTCAGACCATTCTTTTGTATACCTAAAGCTAAAAGTCTGGGCTTTAACCTGCGAATAATGGCATATGCCTATAATCTTAGCATTTGAAAGGCTGTGCATGAGGATTTATAGCCTCGGGATATATAGCAAGACCCTATCTCAACAAAAGGGGAAATATGCGTGTGTGTGTGTTTGTGTGTGTGTGTGTGTGTGTGTGTATTCTGCTCTGATCAGCATTTCCTAACTAGTTGGTTGAATCTAGTATATTCCAAAATGTGTCTGACCATAGATTTTCTTTATTGAATCAGTTACCATCCACTAGAATACACTCCTGAAATGTCATTTAGATGCTTTACCTTATCAGGGCTTATTGGTGGCCATCTTCATGGCAGCATCATATGAGAGCACACTACAAAGTGGCCACAATAAAATTTTTTCCTCTCACTAATTTTTATTTATTTATTTTTTGGGTCTGGTCGTGGAGCCTGAACTCTGGGCCTGGGCATTGTCCTTCAGCTCTTCAGCTCAAGGATAGCGCTCTACCACTTCAGCCACAGCGCCACTTCCAGCTTTTTTCTTTTTGCTTATGTGATGCTGAGGAATTGAACCCAGGGCCTCAGGCATGCAAGGCAAGCACTCTACCACTGAGCCACCTTCCCAGCCCCCTCACATTAATTTTTTAAGGTTAGTTTTCAATGGTATGTTTCAAAATTGTGTGTGTGAGTGAGCACACATTCACACCAGTACTGGGACTTGAGCTCAGAGCCACATAATTTCACTCAGTTTTTGCATTTGTCTGCCTGAGATGGCTTTGAACCTCAATACTCAGGTCTCAGCCTCCTGCGTAGCTAGGATTATAGACAGGAGCCACCACTACCTGGCTTCACTTGATAACTTATTACTTAAATTATTGAATAGTTTTCTGAGTATTCTGATGTGGGCCTCATGGTTAAGCGTGTACTCTTGGCTTCACTTAGGAGCAAACCATGTGGGCGTGTCTGGCTGCCATGGCACTTGCCAACCGAGACATGACCACTGCAGAAATTGCCTACGCAGCAATCGGCGAGGTGAGTCATGTGCACACATAAATGCATGTGCGTGCGTTTCTCACAAGTTGTTCTGTTGCATTTCTGTTTTTATTCACATGGAATGTACTACTTTTTCTTTTCTAGATTGATAAGGTTCAATACATCAACTCTATAAAAGATCTTCCATCCAAAGAATCAAAAATGGCACATATACTAATGTTTAGTGGGAACATACAGGAAGCTGAAATAGTACTTCTTCAGGCTGGCCTTGTTTATCAAGCAATCCAGATCAATATTAATCTCTACAACTGGGAAAGGTAATAAAAATGCTTTTCAGTGATTCCAAAGCCTGTTTGACCTTATGTATTCTTCCATCTATCACTTAGTAAATTACATTTTCCTGCTCTGCCTAACACTACAGAAGAGTTTTTTTGTGTTTATATTTGTGACAGGTTTGCCTGCAGGATTTTTAACATTTTCAAGCCTAGAAAATTATCTATTTAATCAATATTAATTATGATATTTGGCTTTTTGAGCTTTGCTTATCTCGTTCAACCTATTGATCACATCACCAGCTCTATCTACTTCCTGCACATTACATGATTTCATTTTTTTTATAGTCGTATAATATTCCATGGTATATAAACCAACTTTTTGAAGTTGGTTCTACAGTTTGCTGTTTTGAATAGAACTGGTTTAATTAACATGGGTATGCAAGTGTCTTTCTTGTATATTGACTTAGATTACTTCAGATATATGCCCAGGAGTGGTATAATGAAGTCATAAGATAAATCTGTTTTTATTGTTTTATGAGCCTCCATACTGATTTCCATAGTGTGTGCACACTCCAACGATGCATGAGGGTTCCTTCCCCACCCCCAAATCCTTACCACTATTTATTGTTGTTGATTTTATTGATGTTCTTACTGTTGTAAGTTGGAATCTTAGAATAGTTTTGATTTACTAAAAATATTGAACCTTTCTTCTCATATCTATTAGTCATTTCCCTACCATCCATCCCTTTTTTATCTTTGCAGATATCTGTCCTCTTTTCCCTTTCAGATCATATACTTCTAGAAGGACATTTTATGTATACAGAGTAGCTATTTAATATTCATATTCTTCATGTCAGTTACTCTGTGAGCTGCATTACAAACATAGATGGACATGCTATATTTCTCCACATGTCAGGAATTATTGAACAACAACAAATTCATAAGCTATGTCACTTTTACTTGGCAAGGCCTCATTGAACCCTATAGCTACTGCTCTAATCTTTTTTTAGACATTCTGTAAGCTTTTTATTACTGAGAATGGTACTGTGTGATCTGAGGTTAATATTAGTAGATAAGATTGGAATAAAGGAACCTGTGTTAGGAGCTGGGAAGGTGGCTCAGTGGTAGAGCGCTTGCCTTGCATGCATGAGGCCCTGGGTTCGATTCCTCAGCACCACATAAGCAAAAAAAAAAAAAGAAGGAACCTGTGTTATCAGTGGCCAGGGCTATCAGATGGCCTCAGTGAGGAGTGACATTGAACAAGACACATGTACTCATAAATTGACATGTTAAAAAAATAATGGGCTGGGAATGTGGCTTAGTGGTAGAGTGCTTGCCTAGTATGCATGAAGCCCTGGGTTCTCTTCCTCAGTACCACATAAACAGAAAAGGCCAGAAGTGGAGCTGTAGGCCAAGTGGTAGAGTGCTAGCCTTGAGAAAAAGGAGCTCAGGGACAGTGCCCAGGCCAAACTAGTGAGGGTAATGATGCCCTGGGTATACCTAAGATTCACCAGAAGGACGTAAAGAAGGAAGAGAAAGAAAAAGTGACAAAATGTTTCAACTAATCACATGTGGGGTCCTTTTTAGGTCTTGATTCAAACAAACAATAAAACATTCAAGATGGAGAAATAGGGTGCTGAATATAATACGGTAGGCAGTGAAGTATTTACAGATGAAAAGACATGATGACTGAAGTCTGATTTAAGGGAAATGGTAGGGGAGGGGGGTGCGGAGAGGGAGAGCAACGACTCACCAGCTGATTGTTGAAGCTGACTGACCGTGTATGTGAGGATTCACTATATGACTACTCCCTTGTGGATGATCCTTCTGAAGCCAGACCCTTAGATGTTGGTGTTCTTTTTTTTTTTTTTTTTGTCAGTCATGGGGCTTGAACTCTGAGCCTGGGTGCTGTCCCTCAGCTCTTCAGCTCAAGGTTGGTGCTCTACCACTTGAGCCACAGCGTCACTTCCAGTTTTCTGGTGTTTATTAGAGATAAAAGTCTCACAGATTTTGCTGCCTGGGCTGGCTTTGAACCACAATCCTCAGATCTCAGCCTCCTGAGTTGCTAGGATTACAGGTGTGAACCACCAGTGCCCAGTGATGTTGGTGTTCTGTAGCATATACCTGCTGCCCTCTTTTCTCTTGTTTCTGTACATCCTCATGGTGAATCTTAGCTATACTCTGGGATCATTATTCTCACTAGTTCTTCTCTAGTGGCTCTACCAAACTTTATAGCCATGAACCAAGGTTCCACAGGCACTGAGTTCTGGACTTTGTCCCGAGGACTTCAGCTCCAGACTTAGCTACAAGTTGAAGCTTGCATCTAGCTACTTGATAGGCTTAGGATTTAATTTGCTGGGTTTTGTTCATCTGTTTGAGAAGCATAGTCTTACTGGTTTGTGCCTCTGTCCTTCATATTTAAAATTTGAAAATTACCTGAAACCTAGTAAGATGTAGCACCTAAGGAGTCAGAGTAAGCAAGTTTTCTGCTGGCTGTCTACTTGGCACATTTCAAGGTAATGTTCTCTTAGAAACTGGAGATAAGAGAGGTAGAAATTAGAAGCTCTAAGTAACTGCATTGATTATTAACAAAAATAAATGTCTTACCTTATACCAGTTTTATATATATATATATATATGCCAGTTTAGTCATTCAAGCTATGCAAAAGCTCATACTCTGAAGTTATATCATCTCCTTTTTTTCCCCTTTTTCTGATCCTGGAGCTTGAACTCTAGGCCTGTGTGCTGTCCCTGAGCTTCTTTTGCTTGAGGCTAGCACTCTACCACTTGAGCCACAGAACCACTTCTGGCTTTTTCTGAATGGTTTATTGGAGATAAGAGTCTCACAGACTTTCTTGCCTGGGCTAGCTTTGAACTGTGATCCTCAGATCTCAACCTCCCAAGGTTTAGATTATAGACATCAGCCACTGGCGCCTGGCTAACATCTTTTTTTTTTTTTTTTTTTTAAATATATAACTTCTATTTAAATATATGGATCCATTCCAGCCTAGAATCTAATGTCACATTTGTTTGGTTGCCAGATAACTATTTTAAAACTAGAAACACATGTCTCCCAAAACCCTTATGTAATTTAGAGTAAGTTCCCTCTAAATGTGGTAAAGAACTGCTTTTTTTTTTTAACTCAGTCTATGCTTTAAGAGAACACTTAAAATAGCACCTACCATTTAAATGTTTGCCTTTAGCCATTGTTCTTCAAATAATACATATTTTATTATTACAGTAACAGCAGTGATAATAGATAATACTTAGTAATTGAGCTTCTAAATACAGATTAGACATCATATTCTGGTCTTTCTGCATAATGAAGTATATTGATGTTCCAGAACAACTTATCTCTTTGGAGTTTTTGAAAAGCCCCCAGCACAGAGAGTTGGCTGATGTGCCCTCTTTCAGTACACTTGCTGTTTTACAAAATGAAGATGTCCTTCTAGTCATACACAACACAGTGCCCAGAGGGTGCTCACTCGTCTCCTCATACACAGACACCACTGGGAAGGGCTCTGTGTACATTGAGGGCCTTGGACACCAGGAAAGGAATGGGCTCGAGGCAGCATTACTCCAGTTGCTCCTGGGATGCTGCCTCACTTCTCTAACCTTCCACTTCCATTCCTCTGTATTCTGTACTTCGTAGCTTTACACTCCCATTTGCCTGACCTTTTTCTCTGAAAGACTTAAAGTTACTGAGAAAAGGGGACTCTGAGCATCTGGTTGGTAGCAAATGTTATATTTGTATTTAGCAACAAAGCACATGTCAGGATGTTTTCATAAAACAATCACATGGTTTAATGTTGGCATTGCCATTGTCCTGTGCATGTTTTTTTCATATGGCATGTTTATTAGCTCTCAGTTTTCCATCAATTGCCAAATACATACAGCATATCTAAAATGCTTTTCAAAGTAACTAAAGCACACTGAGAATGAACTACATTTCCCTACTGAGAATTATTCACAAGTTGTGAGATAGCTAGATAGCTAGTCATTACTCATTTTTATCTAAAATAGCAGATTTGTAGTGGTTTTCTCATAAACTATGACTTCACTATTCAGCTTAGAGAGTCAGAGACCTGGAGTAGTGATGTGCTTTTGACTGTTATGATGACTACCCTGAATACTTTAAAACAAGAGGACTGCAAGTAGTGAGTAGAACCCCGGTCCGGCTGTGGGTGATGCGCAGGACTGTAGAGACTGAGCAAGTACCCCGTACTGAGATTCACCTGTTCCCTCCTCGCAGATTGTCACCCCTGTGTAGCATGTGCACATTTAGTGTCATACCAAGTGCTTCGCAATTCACTTAGTTCTATTCTGCTATTTAAATATTACTTTTCAAAGAACTTAGTTGTACAGATCAATAGATAATGATTCAATTATAAAATTTAAATTTTTCTTATACTCAAGGGACCAAAGACATTTTTGTCAGCCTTTTCTTAGTGTCAGTTTGTTTCACTAGATCTCCAATTTGCTGTAATGATAGTTTTAAATTCTATACATTTATTATAAACTAATGAAAATAGCGAAGAGAGTTGCATTCAAATGAAGTGCCACACTTGGATTTCTTGATGTTTTCAAAACACTTCTGTAGACCTTCACCAGACACGACACGCTCCTACTCACCAAAGAGAAATGGAAACCACATCTCCTTGTAATAAACGTATGGCTACTGGCAGAAGCAGTCTGAAAATAATTATAATACATGGTGAGAGTGCTATAATAATAGTTTGTAGAAATGATAGGAAGTGTAGATAATGGATATTTATTTCTACAAGGGGAGTAGTCAGAAGAGGTCATGTTTAATCTGAGTCTTGAAGGATAAATAGGAATTTGGAATATGGAGAAGGGAGAAAATGGCATTCCAGTCAGGGGATAAACAAAGGAGCAATCATTTATCCACTCCTAACTCCGGAACTCTGCTGGGTATGCAGTATAACGAGTGCAATCCTGATAATCTGTTTATTTCCCACTACAGGGCCCTGGAATTAGCTGTAAAATATAAAACCCACGTAGATACAGTGCTGGCATACCGTCAGAAGTTTCTGGAGACCTTTGGTAAACACGAAACTAATAAACGATACTTGCAATATGCAGAAGGTGTAAGTATTATACAGTATTTTATAAGAACATAGATGCTGTGTGTGTGTACATGAAACATTCATCTTATGAGTCCTACTATAATTTCAAAAAAAATTTTTTTTTTGCTTTATGACGTAGCCTACTTTTGTGACTGAAGAAGTAAATATTTTGTTGAATTCTTATAGCCATATTTGGAGTTACTCAAGTCTTTTTATAATATTCAATTTGTCTTAAATTGGGTGTCACTTGCTATTTTAGATCTATTAATAATGTAAATGGCTAGGATAAAAGTGAACTCCTGAATTGTGTCCTCCGCTCACTTGCCCCTTCTACTCCAGCGTGAATATATACACAAAGGAAAATGCATGTGTGGAATCCTAGAGGTTAGCTTGTACCACATAGAAATACTTAGTTTAAGCCTAAAACCAAAGATTCAACCTTTGCCTCCCAAACTCCTACTAGAATCTCAAATGTAATGACCCTAACAAGAAAAAAGAATTCCAGTACACATCAGCCCACAAAGAGAGCCCGAGCAAGAGCATTCACCCTCGCTCCCAGAGTGGCATAACTGATAGTTGACCTTATATAGGCTGTCCAAGGCCTAGGGAAAGGAAAGATTGCTCACCACTCTATGGAAATCCAAGAGGTTTGATTCTCAAGGGCTGTGATTCCAAAACAGGCCAGCCTTGATTTTGGCTCAGCGAACTAGTTTGCTTAGCCTTTTCCTTGTTCATTCATTCAAAACAAGTTTATGACATTTTACTCTGGGCTGGTACTGTGCTAAGTGTTGAATAGGATACTCCATCTTGGGATACAGTAAAATAGAATGTTCTATAAGGCCCTGAGTTTGATCCCTACACTTTGGAAAGGAAGCAAAACTAAATAACTAAATAAAATGGGATATTCTGATTTGTCCCAAGGTAGGTTAAGAAACCTTGAGATATGGAGAGAGGTGGAGAGAAGGCACCTACAATGTCTACTGAAAGCCAGTGTTACCTGCTTATACAGTGTTTCAAACACCACAGGTGCCATGATCTACATTCTTGAATTTCAGAGCAGCTTTGCAGGGAGTGAGGCCATTGAGACCAGTCTTAGTATTAGTGCTACTTTAGTGTTGACTTCCAAGATAGCTCCTGAAAATCCACATGACATTTGTACGTTTTGGGCCATACATAAGGCTTTTTGCTGCTCAGGTCCCTGGGATCTCGTATTACACTGACTCAGACTCTCACAGCAGGCAGAAGTCACCAGAGGCCACCTGATCTTTTTGTTGCAGTCTGAAACTTTGGCTATATGTGGAAACTGAGCACTTACCTTAAATTTATCCTATTTATAAATTTTATGTGCCCACCCTGTTTCCTTCTCATCACTGTCTTGACCAATATTTTTTTTTAGTATTGGCACATTAGGTACTTTTGAGAACACATATAAGAAAATAGTCCTTAGTCTAAATGCAGTTGTATTTTAGATAGCAAGACCTCAAAATCCTTAAATCTTCTTCATTATGTGTGTGTGTTTCAACTGCTGCCCGAATGTTTAATCAACAAAATCTTTATTCAGAAGGGTAACAGAGATTTCCAAGATGGGATAATGAGAATAACATGACTGTGTTGATAGTATTTTCTTTTTATCCCAAAACCATGTATATGGGTTACTTTGAACCACCATGACACTGTGTTCTAAGTTAACTAAAAATCACAAAACAATATTCTAAGATGAAAATGCTCTAAAGCTGGAAATGCCAAACAGAAGTGAGAGCAGTCCTTTCCATGGGCTAGCTATCAACACTCCCCCTCCCCCCATCGCGTGTACTCCAGCAGGTGTAGTTGATGGACTTTGGGTGTAGCAAAGCAGCCATTGTTCGCTGGGTCATCAGTGTGTGGTTCTCTTCTGATTGATTTGAAAAACACAGGAAGGTCAGTGCAAGGATGGAAGGAAACCAACACATTCATCAAGTTTTGTCTTCAGGTTTTTGGAGGCGGAGGGTTTGGTTGTGGAGCTTGAACTCAGGGCCTGGGCACTGTCCCTGAGCCTCTGTGTACTCAAGGCTAGTGCTCTACCACTTGAGCCACAGCGCCACATCTGGTTTTTGAGTGGTTTATTGGAGATAAAAGTCTCATGGGGACTTTTCTGTCAGGACTGGCTTTGAACCTCCATCCTCAGATCTCAGCCTCCTGAGTAGCTAGGATTAGAGTGTGAGCCACCAGCACCCGGCTGTCTTCCTTCCTTTTTTCTTTATAAAGGAAAGGGGTTTCAATTCAACACACAGCTTGTGAGTACAATGCATTGTGATCAATGTTACCCTTGTCTTCCTCTTTATTATCAATGCTTTGTTAGGCTAGAAACAAATATTTTACCATGTAAAAATATCAAGTTGAGGGGGCTGGGAAGGTGGCTCAGTGGTAGAGCGCTTACTTTGCATGAGGCCCTGGGTTTGATTCCTCAGCACCACATAAGCAAAAAGAAAAAAAGCCGGAAGTGGCGCTGTGGCTCAAGTGGTAGAGCGCTAGCCTTGAGCTGAATAGCTGAAGGACAGCGCCCAGGCCCAGAGTTCAGGCCCCATGACCAGACCAAAAAAAAAAAAAATCAAATTGGGATATTATGAAAATCCTGGTTGGAAAATGAGTCTTTCAAATAATTCAGTACTTGCTGTACTTTTCAACAAGCTGACATTTGCATCTTACCACATCAATTTATCTCTTAGATAAAAAGATTTTTTCTATTAATTATTAATGTACCTATTTTATATATTATCAATAAATATATAGAATTATTATTTTTTTAGAAAAGTATCCAAGAATATCTACAGATTACTTCATGGAAATTTAGATATAGGATATTGGAATGCACAAAAGAACCAAATTACTCAATTCCATCAATGGCTAGCACAAAAGAAAGGAGGCATGAAATTCTATTAAGGTTAAATAGAGCTGGCCGTCGGTGGCTCATGCCTGTAATCCTAACTACTCAAGAGGCTGAGATCTGAGGATCACAGTTCAAAGCCAGCCCGGGTAGGAAAGTGTGAAAATCCAATAAACCACCAGAAAACTGGAAGTGGTGCTGTAGCTCAAGTGGTAGAGCACAAGCTTTGAGCTGAAGAGCTGAGGGACAGTGCTCAGGCCCAGAGTTCAAGCCCTATGACCGACAAAAAACAAAAAGATAAACAGATCTCATAGTTACCTAAAATAAATGTTCAGTTAGCAAGTAGTACTCTGTCTGGTTTAATACTATCCTATACTACACTGTTCTGTGTAGAGATAAGAACTTGTTCATTTCTGACTCATCCTGAGGTTAATTCATAATAAACTAGTTTAATCTAGGACTGAGTGTTCTCAGAGAAGACACACAATCCTGTTGTTCCACTTGGTTGAACAGTAGGATGTGTTTTCCTAAGAAAATGGAATTTAGAGACAGAGTCCTTTCCCAAAGCCAGCTGGAGGAAGGAGAGGCACACACATAAAAATGCTAACACTTTTCAGTTACTTTTTATATGTGTCTCATTCTTGCCTGCCTTCTGCTTCCTCTAATGTTTCTTCATCTCTCACTCTTAATGACCATCAGATAGATCTTCAAAGCACTTAAAGAGTTGTTGGCAATGGATTTTCTGGTGTAAACTATGCTCAAGGGAACCAGTGTTCTCCTGTCTTTCATAGCTATGCTTCAATATGGAAGATGTAAAAAGCTAACATTGTGGAGATAGTGCTTTGTGGACACAGTCTTATCCACTTCTCTTTTTTTTCTCTTTTTTGTGCTTGAACTCAGCTCCTCACACTCTGATAGCTTTTCCATTCAAGACTGGCATTCTTCCACTTGAGCCACAGGTCTGTTTCCTGTTTTTCCTGGTAGATAAAAGGAAAGAATCTTGGGGATTTTTCTGCCTGGCCTGGCTTCAAACTGGGATGTTTAGACCTCAGCCTTTTATAATCAGATTTTTGTCTCATATAAACAGATTTTACATCAATGTGAGTCTGCTTTTTGGTATACAATTGTTCTATTTGATGTTATACTTAAAGATAATTCATGTTCTTCAGCATTAACTTTTCTTGGTGTGTTCTTTTTCTCTACTGCTTTAGAAATGTGATATATTCTGGTTTTGTTTATTCTCAGTCACTTTTTAAAATGTTTGACCATTTTATTTTTTAATATCTTTGGTTTAATATCTTCGGAAGTAGAGGTTTCACTTCCACATGTTACTTCATAAATACAGTTCATTTTGATCCATGTCACCTCTTCCTTCATTTTCCCCTCCCATCCTCACCCAAGTTACCTTGAATTAAACAAAAAGACCTATACTATAGAAGCATATTTCTTCTTCTCTGTTTTGTAGCTCGAAATAGATTGGGAGAAAATCAATGCCAAAATCGAGATGGAAATAACTAAAGAACGGGAGCGGTCCTCAAGCAAGAGTATTGGGCTAAAGCACTGAACGCCATCTCAGCCTTCAGGAAGTTCCACCCATAAAAGGAATTCCCATTTAACAGAAGATAAGCATGGTATGGTTGCTAAGGAACCAGAGCATAAAAGGTGTAGTTCAGGGGTAGAAGGCTGTAATTCAGTGGTAGAAGGCTTGCCTAGCGTGTATGCACGGTCCTCCAGTACCTCAAACAAGAAAGGAAAGGATAATGACATATTCTTTAGTTACAAGCACTTTCTATGCATTGAATGCCAACAGTACATTCAGAAAGACTAAGCACAAAATAATTGACATGATTCTATCTTTTATACTCTTCAAGTCTAATAATTAGCAAAATATTTCTATATTCCTGTCACCTGTGTAGTGCTGATTATATTCCAGGTTTTGGTTCACACTATTTTGTCCTTGATTCTTCAGCATGAACAAAGAATAATGCTGATAATAAAACACTGGACTCTCTCAAATGCATGTTAGCATTAATTTGTATATGGCCTCTAAATTATAAAGTACCTCCAAAGTTGATATAAGAATATACAAGGATGGATTTGTGAAAATATACTGTACATCAAAGCTAAGAGCAGCATTTATTCAAATAGCATAAGGTCAAAACAACTCATCTGTCCATCAGTAGATAAACAGATAATTCAAGGTAGTATGCTATCCAGTGGAATAGTATTCAGCCTTAAAAATTCAGATGAACTTTAAAAAAATTACTCTAAGTGAAGACACAAAAAGTCAAATATTGTATGTTGCCACTTTCATAGGAATCTAGAAATAAGTTCTCAGAGACAGGAAGGAGAATCGTGTCAGTGAGGAAGTAGGGCAAGGGGAAACGGAGGTTTATTTTCTTGTTAATGGGTACAGAGCTTCTGTTTGGGATGAGCAAGTTCTAAAAGTGCACTGTGATGGCCTCACTATTCCATGAATGCTGATGCCATCAAATTGCACTCCTAAAATGGTTAAAATTGTTACATTGTTTTATATATATATATATATATATATATATATATCATAATTTAAATGCATATGTAGAAGGAGCAAGAAGTATTTTCCTTGTTCTCTTCCTGCAGACAGCAGCACTGGAGTCTAACTTGGTGAAATTCTTCCTCAGGTGATAAACCTGCTCCATGGACTAACCTTAACTCAGTAGGTCCCCTTGAAAGTGTGTTACAGTAACATAAATACCCTGAACTTGGTTTGGAAGTAGAGTATTATAGAGAGGGCACAGCCCATGTATAAACACATAAATAACTGTATCAAGGTTTTTGTATAAAAATGTTCTTTAATTTCCAACTTGTTTCCTTTGTTTTCTGGAATATTCGGTTCTTGATCCAGATGCTGGACTCAAGAATGTGTTCAGTTTGTGAACTTTTTGAGCAGTTGCTTATAAATTGTACTTACTAGATTTGTATATGTTTTCTATATTATATTTCAATGAAAAAATTTAAAGTAATTGGGTAAATTTTGTTGTATATATTTTACTACAATAAAAATGTTAAAAAAAAAAAAAGTGTGTATTCTAACAACCATTCTCTGCTGTGTCTTCAATTCAGTTAGATTTGGACCCTTAACTATTAACTTGGAATTAGCCTCAAGTTGGCAGCCAAGTCCTCCAACCCCAAACTGCCCTGCTTTCAGACAGCAGCCATAAGAGCAGTTGCTAAGTTACATTGGTGACACATTTGGGGTTCCCTGTGGCCTCTCCTTCAAGTTGGGTACTTCGTGTGACACACAAGTCAGACAACTTGGCTACAAATGTGGGCATTCTCACTATCCTTCAGGTTCTATAATTTGCTAGAATGATTCACAGAACTCCTGGATACCCTCTTGTTACACTTTGGGGTTTATTGTAAATGGTTCAATGCAGAAATAATCCAGTGGGAGAAATGTATCAGTCAGATTCTGGGGTGAAGCTTAACTGGGAGGGGGTTGACTGAAGAGCTTCCATGTCTCTCCTCCCTCCTGGTGGAATCTGGGTGCCTCACCAGCTCAGGAAGGAGTTGACACACAGGAGGCTTGGCCTAGCCGCAGTGTCCCAGTATCTTTTCCATTTTCCAGCAGGTTTTCATAGAGAAGATTGACTTAATTCACTGTCCATACGACTGAGCTCACTCTTTTATCCCCTTCACTTCCTGGAGGTCGGGGGCTGAAGGAGCCAGCCCACGAATCATGGCTGTCTAATAGCTTCAGGGCTTCATTAGCATAATGAAGACATTCCAAGTTTTTGGAAGCTGTGTACCATGAACCACAGAGAAGCTCCATGTTTATGTTTTATTCTATCATAAGTCTTTACCAGCCATATTAAATTTGGTTTTTAAACTTACACTTTAAAAAGTATATATCACAGAAGCTTTTCCCTTGGTTTAGCATGAATACTTCTATATGTTTTTGGAAAATGATGTAAGTTTTTGCTTTGGCATGTGTGTATAAATGTTTTACCTTTTATAAAATGTAACAAAGAAGAATATCCACAATGCTTGACAACAGGCCCTGTTTGAATGATATTTCTGTATTATGATCTAAATAATGTTTTTGTACATAGGGAACATATGGTAAGTTTTAAAGCAAATATATATATATATTTTTTTTTTTTTTTTTTTTGGGTCCAGTCGTGGGGCCCTGAACTCTGGGCCTGGGCACTACCCCTCAGCTCTTCAGCTCAAGGCTAGTGCTCTACCACTTGAGCCACAGCGCCACTTCCGGCTTTTTTCTTTTTGCTTATGTGGTGCTGAGGAATCGAACCCAGGTCCTCAGACATGCAAGGCAAGTGCTCTACCACTGAGCCAACTTCCCAGCCCCAAAGTTTTAAAGCAAATATATTTTAAGAAATCACTTAGTGGAAAAAAAAAATCATGAGTAGCCATGGAAGATTATCTCCAGATATCTGTCATTTTGGTACATGTGGGAAATAGATGCCTCTCTGAGGGCTTGGAGGCATAGCTCAGTGGTAAACAGGCCTGCCCAGCAGGTGCCAGGCCCCAAGTTCAAACCCCAGTACTAAAAAAAAAATAAAATTAAGTTAAAAAATGCATTAAAGGGGCTGGGAAGATGGCTCAGTGGTAGAGTGCTTGCCTTGCATGCCTGAGGCCCTGGGTTCAATTCCTCAGCACCACATAAGCAAAAAGCAAAAAAAAAAAAAAAAGCCAGAGGTGGCGCTGTGGCTCAAAGTGGTAGAGCACTAGCCTTGAGCTGAAGAGCTGAGGGACAGTGCCCAGGCCCAGAGTTCAGGCCCCACGACCGGAACCCCCCCCCCCAAAAAAAAAAAAAAAACCATTAAAAAAATAGAAAATATATGCCTTAGAAACAATATGCCACGGGCTGGGAAGGTGGCTCAGTGGTAAAGCACTTGCCTTGCATGCATGAGGCCCTGGGTTCGATTCCTCAGCACCACATAAGCGAAAAAAGCCAGAAGTGGTGCTGTGGCTCAAGTGGTAGAGCTCTAGCCTTGAGCTGAAGAGCTGAGGGACAGCGCCCAGGCCCAGAGTTCAGGCCCCATGACCTGACCCAAAAAAGAAACAATATGCCACATAACCCCATTTAGAAACAATACTTTGTTTCAAATGTATTTTTCTTATTTTTTAAAAAAATATTAGCACACAGGTAGTGTACAAGGGCAGTTTCATCTTGATATCTTTTCACGTTGCTATGCAATCCATCCTATCATCCTCACCCCTCTATCACTCTTCCTTTTTCTTTTCTTTTTTGGCTGATACTGGGGGTTAAATTCAGGGCTCTGAGCTCTTTCTTTCACTCAGCTGGTACTCTACCATTTGAGCCACATTTTTTTTTTGGTGGTTGTGGGGCTTGAACTCTGGGCCTAGGTGCTGTCCCTCAGCTCTTCAGCTCAAGGCTAGCACTCTACCAGTTGAGCAACAGTGCCACTTCCAGTTTTCTGGTGGTTTATTGGAGATAAAGAGTCTCCTTTCCTGCCTGGGCTGACTTTGAACTGAAATCCTCATATCTCATCCTCCTGAATAGCTAGAATTACAGGTATGAGCCACCAGTGCCCAGCAACTTGTTAATTTTTTTTTGCAGGTTGTGGGGCTTGAACTCTGGGCCTGGGCACTGTCCCTCAGCTCTTCAGCTCAAGGCAAGCACTCTACCACTTGAGCCACAGCACCACTTCAGGCTTTTTCTCTTTATATGATGCTGAGGAATCGAACCCAGGGCCTCATGCATGTGAGGCAAGCACTCTACTGCTGAGCCACCTTCCCAGCCCTCCTTGTTAATTTTTATAGTGAAAAAAAGGTCAGACCTTACTATCATATACATACCACTGAAAAGGAACTACACAGTAATGAAAACACCTTGTTAGGCTGCAGACGAGGTGTGGGATAGTTAACTGGTCAGGTTTAATACTATGTGCAGAGACAAAGGGAAGGCGGTGGGCAGCTCTTCTGCAAGGACCCCTTCTTGCCATCCGTCCCCTCATCTGCAGTGTCTTCTGTGCAATGGGAAGTGACATTTGGGTCAGAAGATTTACGAGCTTCTCATAATCCTTTATGGCTTCTGAACTCAGTCATCTTGTATTCTGCCTGCTTCCCTCTCCATCCCCTCTGCCCCTTGAGCTCAGTAGAAGCTGGGTGACCATGCACATGTGCAGTCCTGGCCAGCATGTACTCCAGGACAGCGTGCTCAGTGATTTTTAGGCTAGACTCTCAACTCTCAGCCCCTTCAACTTAGAGCTTCCCGCTTTTCACACAGGCTCAGATGTCCTAGACTATAATTTTGTTACGGATGGGTTCATTTTTTTGGTTGATAAATTACCTTCCCTTAATTCTACCAGATCGTAGCTTTTTCATCAGTGGATAAAGGAAGAGTAACAAAGTCAATTGAGAACCATGAAGTCACATACAGACTTGCCAAATAGCCTCTTACCGAAGGGTTTATGAAACCTGGAGAGATGGCTTACATCATTGTTCTCTCCTCCTGAAAACACAAACTTTGCAATTTATGAAATTTTTATGAACATCAATGGTGACTATTGCTCAAATCTGAACCTCACATTTGGGTGTCCTGCCTATCTGTTTCAACTCTGAGTTGGCTTCTTTATTAATTCCACTTGAGAGAAACTGTACACCTAAAGTTTCATCATTAAGGCACTCAGCATCTTTCTTCTTAACCTATTACGTGAGGCCATTTCCTTAATATGCCCTTCAACCTGCACAGTTCATTGTTTTTTCCCTAAAGAGTGGGCGTCACGCCTCTTGCCATGATTGCAACACCATTTTTCATAGTTGGAGCACACTCATTTGCAGATCATGGCAATTAATGACCTCTTAAAACAATTTTTCGCCAGGTGCTGGTGGCTCACACCTGTAATCCTAGCTACTCAGGAGGCTGAGATCTGAGAATCATAGTTCAAAGCCAGCCCAGCAGGAAAGTCCGTGAGACACATTTGTAATAAACCACCAGAATACCGGGAAGTGGCGCTGTGGCTCAAGTGGTAGAGTGCTAGCCTTGAGCTGAAGAGCTGAGGGACAGTGTCCAGGCCCAGAGTTCAAGCCCTATGACTGACCTAAATAAAAAATAAACAATTTCTCTGCCAAGAAGATGTGCCCCCCACACACCAGATTATGATATTTAACAAACTGCTTGAAGGCTACTGGAGCTTACACATTGTATGCACATCACAGGTACTTATGTATCTAGAACATTCTTTAGAAAAATTAGTCATGCTTTCTACCTTTTAGATGGATAACCATATTCAGGACTATTCTTTTCCTACTCCTGAGAGTTCCATGAAATCAGAATGGACTCAGAATGTTTTTGTGTTTGGAATCAGGAGAAAAGGGTTAGTAGTCCTGGGAACACAGCACTCCAGGTAAGTTTGATGAAGATATATATATAGGTGCCCTAAATTTAGACTTATTTTCCATATTAATTTCATTAACCATTCTATGCCGCAAATTGATGTTCTCTGTATAGATGGAGAACATACCACTCTCAACTACATGTAGAATATTAAAAATTACCTCATGAATTTAAGTGGCAGGATAACTGTTCTCTTAATCACTTCCCTTAATCACTGTTCTTTGGGTATTTAGATGGAAGTTTCAAATACAGGCTAAGTACAATAAATGTTGGGAGCTAGTGGCTCATACCTGTAATCCTAGCTACTAAGGCAGCTGAGATCTGAGGATAGAGGTTTGAAGCCAGTCCACGCAGACAAATCTAAGACTCTTATCTCCAATTCACCATCAAAAAGTTGGCAATGAGCAGGCCACTGGTGGCTCGGACCTATAATCCTAGCTATTCAAGAGGCTGAGATTTGAGGATCATGGTTGAAGCAGGAAAGTTCCTGAGATTCTTATTTCCAATTTACCACAGAAAACTGGAAATAGAGTTCTCTTAATCACTTAAGATTCTGGCTTTTCCATAAAAAATATGTAGGTAAATCTGTAAAACTAAACACTCTTCCCTAGTGCTTTAAAGCCTTCTTACCCAGCCAGGACTTGGTAGCTCATGCTAGTAATCTGACTACTCAGGAGGTTGAGAATTGAAGGATGGTGGTTTAAAGCTAATCTGGGCAGAAAAACTCATGAGACTCCAACTCCAAATAACCATCAAAGAGCAGGGCTAGAGTTGAGGCCCAACAGGCTCCAGCAAGAATGCTAGGTCCTGAGTTCAAGCCCTGTAGCCAGCAAAAAAGTTTTTCTGCTCAGGCATTCCATCATTGATACAGGTTCTACACGCTGTTAACATGGTCTGTTACATGGACGTTACTCTGGGACATGCTGCTTGGTCACTGTTTGGTTGGGAGCCAGTGGCTCACACCTGTAATCTTAGCTTCTCAGGAGGCTGGGATCTGAAGATCATGGTTCAAAGTCAGCCCAGGCAGGAAAGTCTAGAAGAGACTCATCTCCAATTAACCACCAAAAGAGCCAGATGTGGAGCTGTGGCTCAAGTGGTAGGCACTAGCCTTGAGCAAAAAAGTTCAGGGGCAGTACCAGGCCTTGAATTCAAGCCCCAGAATCCCACCCCCCCTCCCCCACCCCACATCATACATTTTTTTGCAAGATTTTTTTCCTACATGATTAAGGCAATAGAATTGAACAAAAAAATTGTACTTGATAATTCAGGGAACTGAAAGAAACAAAGCAGTAGAGTCAAACATTTCTACTAAATCCAGGTTTTATTTACTGATGGAAACAAAAACTTGTTAGTTAGGCAGGAAAAAAAATGGAAGACTTTGTTACATGATTGGTGTAGAGTAGAATTACCATTTTATGCCAATTCTGGATTTTATGGAGAGAAACTTCACACAGCTGATAAAAGGAAACATATGATCTGTGATCTTGTAATTTTGCTGTAAATTTTCTTGGAATGATAAGCAGTGAGTACACTTAGTCTATGCTCTATGCACTGTTCTTTGGGTATTAAGATGGAAGTTTCAAATACAGGCTAAGTACAATAAATGTTGGGAGCTAGTGGCTCATACCTGTAATCCTAGCTACTAAGGCAGCTGAGATCTGAGGATAGAGGTTTGAAACCAATCTACGCAGACAAATCTAAGAGACTCTTTTATCTCCAATTCCCATCAAAAAGCTGGCAATGAGCAGGCCACTGGTGGCTCAGACCTATAATCCTAGCTATTCAAGAGGCTGAGATTTGAGGATCATGGTTGAAGCAGGAAAGTTCATGAGATTCTTATTTCCAATTAACCACAGAAAACCGGAAATAGAGTTGTGGCTCAAAGTGGTAGAGCTTCAGCCTTGAGTGAAAAAAACAAACAAAAAACAACAAAAAACCTAAGTGGGTATGCAAGGCCCTGAGTTCAAGCCACAGGGTTGGCACACACAGGCACATGCACGCATGCGCGCGGACGCGCACACGCACCCCCCCCCCCACAAAACCTTAACAATATGGCAACTTTCCAGTTTGTTTAAATGGCTGTCATGTTTGATAATATTTAAATAACATATTAGCCTATATGACTGGTCACATTTCATGAAGTTTTTTTTTTCAGTTCTCCACTCTTTTATCTACTTATAGCTTAAAAACTGCTTTTAAATGACAGACACAGCCTGCAGATTTTAACATATTCTCTAAGTCACACATCAGATAAAATTTGAACAAAATTTTAATGTCCTTCTGTTTTAATGTACGTTAATTTTTTCTTTGTTTCCTCCATGATCAGGCCAGGCACTTCAAAAAGTTTAAACCATTCTCTTTTATTACAATCCTGACATTAAAAAAAATTCCCAGATCTGTCAGATATTTTTTGTCAACATTTCAAAGTTTAAAATAATCAAATTATCCTCTTCCAATACAAGTCAAGATACATCTTATTTTCTGGTTTCTCAGGACTGTCCAATTTCATTGGCAAGAGCAGTGCTCTGGACCCGTGTAGCCAGTCTTTCTGTTTTGAACACAGAGTCTTGAGCTCTTGTTGAGCTTTTTTCTCTCAAGTTTGGCACTCTACCATTTGAGCCACACCTCTGCATTGGCATTTTGCTGGGCAACCGGAGATACGAGTGTTTTAGCTTTGTCCGCTGGGGCTGATTTTGAACCTTAATCCTCAGACCTCAGCCGCCTAAGTAGTCAGCATTACAGGCCTGAGCCACTGACACCCTTGACTAATCTTTCTTGAGGTACTGGCTTCTCCAGAGAAACTTTGGCATTTGAGTTCGTGCTCTCTCTCGCTTATCATAAGCTACAATAAGTACAGGGCACCCAATGTACATTTTACATCGTGTGCTTGTGTACTTTACACACCCTGCATTATTAACATAGGTCCAACTGCCTTCTGCTTCAAGGACCTGTCATGGAAGGGGAGAACTAATGACACTTGTTTTTTTCTTCCTTAAAACAAGGGATTATATCAGTCCAGTCGCACATTACCGAAAGATGGCTTGACAGGGACGTTACAGGGGTCAGGCTGCTGGCGTCTCCACGCTGTGGCTGTACTGCACCAATGACACACAGCACAGCACATGGACCTGTGTCACGGCGATTCACCGAAGACCTAGACTGCGTACGTGTGCTCGTTATAACAGTACTAAAAATAAAACAGACTCCCAGAGACACCCTTCGTATCCTTTAATGTCACGTTTCCCAGCGTGGCGGCGCCTCTCTCCACTTCCAACAGAGCGCCGAGGGGGTGCTCAACAGAAGTGACAGCAGAAGAGACAAGGTGAGCAACTTCCTGGCCACTAAATTTGGGGTGTGGGGGGGAAGATAATGATCTTGCTTTGCCATCCATTCACTCGAAAGCCTTGCTGCTGCGCTCAGCACAGGGCAACGATGCATAAAACAACAGCCACAAATACCTCCTCGGTTACCAAGAAGTCCAGTCGAGGTCCCGAGTGCGTCCCGCGAGGCCCGGCGTCGGTCCCGGCCTGCGTCCTGGCCTTTGTCCCGCGCGGGTCCACCTTGGCACGAACCCTCAGCGGTGCCCGTCGTCTGCTCACCTCCGGAAAGGGATGATCTCGTCCCCGAGTGCGGCCCCGGCGCTATCCCGGCCCAGCGATCACGAGTCCCGGCTCCCCCCTCCCCGACCCCTCGGGGATCCCGCCTCGGCCGGGTCCAAACCGGCGCGGACTCGGACTCGGAGGGAAGCAGGCACTTGCGGGTGATCGGGGCCGGGGCGGCCGAGGGCACGCAGGCAGGGGACGGGGAGCGAGCCGGGGCCGGCGGGCCGAGGGTGCGGGCGGGTCCCCGGAGCGCTCAGACGAGCGGGAAGCGGCCCTCGCCGCAGTCGGGGCCCGCCGGGCCGGGGCCGAGCGGCTGCAGCCGCAGCGACTCCTCGTAGCTGGGTAGGTGCCTGACCTCCTCGTAGCTAGGCAGCTGCGGGAAGGCGGCCGCCGCCGCGCGCAGCCCGCGCCCCGGGGCTCCGCGGCCCGCGCCGTCCAGCAGCGAGTCCTGCGAGCCAGCGGCCGCCTCGTCCCGCAGCAGGGCCGGCGCGTCGTCGTCCTCGTCGGCGGCCCCGTCGGGAGCTCCCGGGCGCCCCGGCGGCGCGGCCGCCCCGGGCCCGGCCTGGCCCCGCGGGAAGCGGCGCGGGTTGGGACAGATGATGCGCTGCAGGAAGTAGCCGATGGCGAAGAGCACGAGCAGCACGAGCAGCCCCGAGAGCTTGCGCACCAGCCAGCCCGCGCCGTCCAGGAAGGCGAGCAGCGGCGCCCGGCAGCAGCGCGCGGCCGCCGTGCCGTTGCCCGGGTCGCGCTCCGCGCACGCCGGCTCCGCGCAGCCCGCGCCGCCCCGCGAGGGCGCCACGAGCGCCAGCAGCCCGAGCAGCGGCAGCGCCGCCCGCGGGCCCTCGGCCGGCGCCCCGGGGCCCCGCATGGCCCGCGCGGGGCGGGGGTCCGCGCGACCTCGGGCCTGTGCTCCGTCCCCGGCCGCGCCGCCGGCTCCCCGCGGCCGCCCTCACCTGGCCCCGCGGGGCGGGAGGAGGAGCCGGGCGCGCCGTCCCCTCCGAGGTCCCCACCGAGGTCCCCGCGCCGCCCGCCCGCCCTGGGCTCCGCGCCCCGCCCTGGGCGCCGGGACCCCGCCCGCTCGCCCGCCGCGCGTCCTCCTCGCCTCGCCCCGCTCCGCAGCCGGCGGGCTGGACCCGGGCGCGCGCGGTCACCTAGCGGTCCCGGGCGGGGCGGGCGCGGCGCCCGGGGCGGGGCTTACGTGGCCGGTCGGCCCGAGTCCTCGCCAGCTTCTGGCGAGCGGTCGGGTTAAAAAGGATGGTGGCCGTGAGCGCGCCGTGCGGGCCTCGGGAGGGCCGGGGCGGGGCGGGGCGGGGACCGGGGGCCTCGGGAGGATGGCGACGCCCCCTCCCGGGCTGCGTACCCGACACCCCGGAGCCCGCAGCCGGACGCACGTGTGGGGGGCACGGAGTCCCCCGCTTCTGGAACTGTCTGTGAGAGGCGAAGGAGGTCGCTTGGAGGCCGGCCTCGTCCCCACCCAGCCTCGCTCCCCCATCCCGGCCTCGTCTTCCCCCCCCTCCATCCCGCCCCCCCCCCCCGGCTTCGATCCCCGGCCCCCGCCTCCCGGCCTCGCCGTGTCCCCAGGGCCTCTCCAAGGCGACCCTCGTCTGCACAGCTTGACTGTGGGGTGTCAGTCTGTGACGGTGACTGCCGTGGGAGCGTTCCCTTGCCTCGATTTCCCCACGCGTCCCCGGGAAAGCCCTCCGTGAATCCCGGAGGAAAGGCAGTTCCTCCGGGCGGGAGGCACAGGCCGCCCCGGGAGCCGCATGGGAGACAGCCAGCCGCCGGACCCCGACCCAAGCCGGGCAATGGGACCAGCAGGCCGCCTGGTCCCCGCTGGCAGGCCGAGGAGGGGCGGGAGCAGGGGCGAGAGCACGGGCCGGGGAGGGTGGGGAGAAGGATGGGAGCTGGGGGGCGGATGGGAGGGATGGGGAGAGGATGGGGGATGGGGAGGAGGATAGGAGGATGGGGAGGAGGATTGAGGGAGGATGGAGAGGAGGATGGGAGGATGGGGAGGAGGATTGGGGAGGGGAATGGAGGGAGGATGGAGAGGAGGAGGAGGACTGGGGATGGGGAGCGGGATGGAGGAAGGATGGGGAGGAGGATGGAAAGGAGGATTGGGGATGGGGAGGATAGGGAGGGGAATGGAGGGAGGATGGGGAGGAGGACAGAGAGGAGGACGGGGGGGGGGGGCAGAGCCAGACACAGGCCTCAGCCCCACCCGACCCTGGGAGGAGCAAGAGGTGGGAGCATTGGGTCCACACCGAGAGCGGCTGTGTTTCTGCCCACACACTCACCCCTGCTTTACTTCCACAGCACCTCATATCCCCGGAGTCCACGGCCCGGCTCTGAGAGGACATCCGCCCCTCCACTGCCTCCCCCCCCTCCTTTCCCCCTTCTTACATTGCATTTTAATATACAATGTACTTTATTGTGTACAACCTTTTGGAGGAAAGAAAAGAAATCCTGCAGCTGTCAAAGCACCAGAGAAACCGTGATCTTCATTACTCAGCATCACTACTGTCTCCTTTACCTCTGACTAACCAATGAACAGAGCACATTCAACTTCTAGAAATTCACAAATTCAAGCCTCGGTGAGCGACATGGAATGTAATTCTGTCTTCCATAGGAAAAAAAATCAGCTCATTTTGTTAAAAATTGCGCCAAATTGTCTTAATAGCAGAGGTCGAGAGGTTTTCCTTTTTTTTTTTTTAACTTATAGATGAAGGGCTCTGAGTCTATCCAAAAGAAACGAGGTCTTTTGGAGTGTGGCCTGACAAAAATTGAGAACATTAACTGAGCTAGTCTTGTGGTATGTGCTTATAATCTCAGCACCTGGGAGATGGAGGAAAGAGGAGCCGATTCAGGCCAGCCTGAAGCCACCTTAGTGAGTACTCTGTCTAAAAATAATAAACTACCATTTATCTTTTAAAAACTCATGCATGTAGCTAATCAAGAGGCTGCATTTCCAAGGATTACAGTTCAAAGCCAGACTAGGCAGAAAAGTCCATGATACTCCATCTCTAAAATAATCAGCAAAATGCCAGACTGGAGGTACAGCTCAGGTGGTAGAGCACCAGCCACACAAGCAAGCTGAGCAAGCTTGAGGCCCTGAGTTCAAACCTTGGCATCACCAACAAAACAAAATGAGTCACCATCAGCAGCAATACAAATCAACACATCTTTGTCTCCATAGTGTTTGCATATTTAAAATACCTTTATCTTTGTGAATTAGTTCACACTCACAGGAATAAATGCCAAGTGAGCCACCCTTTATGACTTTTAAAGACAGAAGAAAGTAAACAGAACATAGCAAAGGCCACTGCTCTTTCACTTGTGTCCCTAGGAACTGTCCTGCAGGCATAAGACCAGGTGGCTTCACCATGAACCCTTCCATTCTGTCACACGACTCCTGTCAGGGAGGACATTTCCCTCTGCTGTCTGCTAGCCATGAACTTGGGCCTTCAGGAGAAAGTACCAGAAACAGAAGGCCAGGCTTTACCTCTTCCTCAACACATCTCAGCTTGGGTAGTTGGGATAATATAAACTGTCCTGTCCATGAGAACCTTTTACTTAGGATGACATTGCTTTTATATTATATTTGATTATAATCTCTCCTGGTTTTATGATGTCTCTTCATTTACACCAGGTCTTCCCAGGGCAACAGTTCATTAAAGGCTTTATGTATATTTGCAGAAATGCATCTGTGTCAAAAGGATTTGCGACCTGAGATAATCTGCTCTGTGTTCTTTTCAGATTGTATTTCTTTCATTACTTATTCAATACATATTTGATGAGCACTGGCTCGGGGCGAGTCAGTATGCTCTCCTCTGGGGATATCATGAAATCAAGCCTCTCCCTGTCCTCTAGGGGCTTCCTGGGAGAATAGACATACATCAATCACCATAATGAATTGCTAGTGCATGCGCTGGCTTCTCACGCTGCCTTGACCTAGGTTGAGGAAGAGGAGTTGGCTGGAGAGATCTTCCTAAGACAGACTTTCCTAAAACGAATAGCACTACCTACAGGGTAGGAATCTTCTGTGCTGAAGAAACCTCTAGAAGTCTAATCTCCAGAAGAGGAAGCCCTTTTCCGTGTCATCTCTTATGCTTGGAGCAAACTCTGTGATGTCTGCTTCACTGTCTACATTTGGAAATGACTGCTCTGTTTCTCAGTTAGTGCTAGGCAGTTTTCAACCACTCCTCATTGCCATCCACCTACAGACAGAACCTAGAGCCCTGCGGAGCTCCAACTGCTTGTGTGACTGTACATCTAGGACTGTTTGGTCCTAGATGAGCCTTTGGCAAGCAGGAAAGTTCCAGCAACATTTTCTGTTTTTCCCATCTTCACATCCCTGGCTTGGAGTGGGGCCCAAATTTCCTCTTTCAACTTGATGGATTTGCAGCAGGCCAACAAAGGCTTCTTCAAGCCATGTGCTTCAAACCCAGAGAAAAATCAGAGTGACGTGCTTTGCCTCTTTTTGTTCAAATTAGGCACAAAAGGCCATGTGAAGCTTTCTTCCAAGCCTGAAGCCAGGAACAAAAAGATTGAGTCATTTCAGGCCCTTAGGAAAATAATCTTTCCTCTCACATCATGCCTTTTAGCTTTTCTGAGAAATGTTTACCATGTATTATTTTGTTTTTTCTTTCCTCCATCCTTGTGCGAGGGATTGAAATTATTATTATCCATTTTAGTAGACAAAGCTGGGTTAAGACATCTGAATCATGGAGCAAAGCAACGGCAGTGCTGTAATTGGAATCGGAGGCTTGTGATTGAAATGCAGCTTCGTGGTGGAGGACTTGCCTAGTGCGTTGAAGGCCCTGGGCTGGGTCTCTGGTATGGTATGCACTCCCTGTACTGAGACAGGGTGGGCCCTGAGGGAGCACTGTGTGTGGGGGGGGGGAAGCATGTGGCTTTGGAAGCTCCAGATTCATTAGGAGAGACCAACTGTAAGCAAAGGAGAGCCATGCTGGAATAATTCTAGACTGAGGAGATGAGATTCTTCTGAGGAAATGAAACATTTCTATCCTGCTGTGGACACGTTCAGTAACCTCAGGGATTGGTAATAATGGGACAGGCCAGCTATTTTTGTATGCATTTCTGCAATAAATAAATACCCTCCTTTGTGATGCTCAATTATTTACCTATAAATTAAGTTACTTAATGTTCATCGTAAATAACTTGTGAAATTAAGAATATCGTATAATGTTCATCGTGATAAATAACTTGTGAAATTAAGAATATCGTGAGTTCTGAAGCAAAGGAATATACAATGTTATCCACAACTTAAACTTCCATTATTAAACTCTTGTTTTTGTCTGGATGTAATGGCTCATACCTGTAATCCCAGAAACTCATGAGGCAGCAATAAATCAAGAAGATCTTGGTTTGAGGCCAGTTCAGAAAAAAAAAAAAAAAAAGCATCAAAATTCCATCTAAACAAATAAAAAGCTAGGCGTGGTCAAATAAGCTTTAATCCCAGCAGTGTGGAGGCAGAGATAAGAGGACTGTAGTCCAGGCTAATCCCAGGCAAAATGTGAAGCCCTATCCCCCCAAATAACAAGGAGGACAGGGGATATAGCTCAAGTGGTAAAGTTCTTGTCTAGTAGGCACAAAGCCCTGACTTCAAATGCCCATCCTGCCCCCACCCCCCAAAAAAAAGTTCTTTATTTCATTTTCTTTTGTTTTGTTCCCTTGTATTGCTGGCAACTGAGCCCCAAACGCTTCATAAGTTAAGCCAGTGCTCTGGCCCTGAGCTTGTAGCCCTAAACTTTCTCTTGATAACAGTTTACCAGTTCATTCCTCATGGCTGCCTTGCAGAGGAGATTCCTAACACTCACTGTATCGCTGCCATGAGAAAAATGCAACCAT